TATATGTAAACTTAACACTTGTACCCCCATATTATACCAAAATAAAAAGAAATAAAAAGGAAAAAAAAGAAAGCTGGATATTTATATGCAGAAAAATAAAATTAGGCCCTCATATCACACTATGTACGAAAATCAACTCAAAGTCAATTAAAGACAACTGAAGCTATAAAACTACTAGAAGAAAACATAGGGGAAAACTCCATGACATTGGTCTGGGCAAAGATTTTTTGAATATGACCCCAAAAGCACAGTCAGCAAAAACAAAAATAGATAAATGGGATTATATCAAACTAAAACACTTCTGTACAGGAAAGGAAACAATTTACCAAATGAAGAGACAACCTATGGAATGGGAGAATATATTTTTAAACCATATATCTGATAAGAGTTAATATCCAGAATGTATCAGGAACTGAAACAACTCAACAGTTAACAAATTAACCTGATTAAAAAAGACAAAAGACTTGAGTAGACATTTCTCAAAAGATGAGATACAAATGGCCATCAGGTATATGAAAAAATGCTCAATATCACCAATCATTAGAGACATGCAAATCAAAACTACAATGAGGTCTTATCTCACATCAGTTAGAATGGATGTGAGATAAGATCCTTATCAAAAGGATGAAAGATAACAAGGATTGGTGAGGATTTGTAGAAAAGGGAAACTTTTATATTGTTGGTAGGAATGCAGATTAGTACAGCTGTTATGGAAAACAGGAGGTTCCTCAAAAAGTTAAAAATGGAACTACTATAATAGCCAGCAATTCCATTTCCTGGTATATATCTAAAGGATATTAAATCAGTACTATGTTGAAAAGATATCTCCACTTCCATGTTCATTGCAGCATTATTCAGAAAAGACAAGATATAGAATCAACCTAGGTATCATTCAATGAACGAATGGATAAAGAAAATGTGGCATATATACTAAATGAAATACTATGCATTAAAAAAGAAGGAAATATTGTCATTTGTGATAACACGGATGAACTTGGAGGACATCATGTTAAGTGAAACCAGGAACAGAAAAACAAATACTGCATGATCTCATTGATATGTGGAGTTTAAAATATTCAGACTCATAGAAACAGAGCAATGGTAGTTACCAGAGGCTGGGAGATGTGGGGGATTAGAGATGTTGATCAAAGGATACAAAATTTTAGTTAGATAGAAGGAATAAGTTCAGGAGATACACTGTACATCATGGTGATCACAGTTAATAACAATATATTATATACTTAAAATCGACTCTCCTAGCAATTTTCAAGTGTTAGCACTACAAAAAGTATATGAAGCAATGCATATTTAAATAGCTTGATTTAGCCATTCCACATGTACATGTGGTACACCATAAATAAAAATTTTACTTGTTAATTAGAAAATTAAAAAAATATATAAAATCATTCCTTTTGCTTTTTACTCAATTGTTGTGGAGACACTCTTGTCAACTCTTGGTTTGCACATATATGGGACTGAACAAGAGCAAAGACGATCTGAAAATGTAGGTAACATCTTCAAATTGTGCATATGACTTTGAATGCATAACAGGTTTTTCTCCTCCTATAATAGACCTTCTTGATTATATACCATTTAAAATAATATACCATAATGAGGCTGTTTTACATCAAGTATATAAGAGATGGCTAAGGAGCACTTGGGATAGCAAGAAAAAGGTACTCAGTGACAGTTAAGGTTTAATTGTAAATTCAAAATAGCAAGGCAGCAAACTTGAGGTATATTTATTGAGCATCACAATCAATTATCATAAAAGAACTAATCTGTCTATGCCCATACCACTTGGAACATGCCTGATATCCTCTGATTTTAGAAGGCACGTAATTCACTTCTGCCACAGAGGCCATACTACTGATTACTCTGTGATTTGTCTACCCCACTGGCAAAGAAATCTTTACAGTTTTATAGCATGTTAGTAGCATTACTGTTGAACACTCATGGACTTTTATCAGAGGTAAACAAGTCAAATTGAATAAAGTCATGTAGTTTCCACAGGCTAGTTTCCACATTATCAAAAAGCAGATAAGAAAGAAAGAACTAACCCCTCAAAGAGATTAGACAATTCAGAGGTTAGGGATACACATTAGAACTCTGTACACTGAAAATATCCATATGACACTGCCTTAAAAAATATCAGTGAGTGGTTGATACGAATTAAAATCAAGTAACAGGACATCAGTTCGAATAAAAACACATTACACAATAGCCAAATGACCAAACCTTTATGACAACAGAGTGCACAGAAAATTTTACATTTACTTTCATATATGTTGTGAGAGAGAAAAAAATCTCTACTTCTATTTACGTATAGGAGATCTAAAGGAAACTGTTACAATTGTACTAGGTAAAAATGTTTTTAACTCCAAGCAGTATGATGGTTTTAAGAATCTACAGAAAAAGAAAAGTAGGTAACCTGAGAAATGACCTTTGTAAAAGTCATGGACTTACTACTTCAAATCTAAACCACCGTCCACTGTTATTCACAAAATGAAGCACATTACTTAGAGGATGAGTTGAAAATTCAAACCAACTTAATTCCTCACCATCCCTTCCCTCTCACCACAGACCCAACTTGAGAAAGTATTGTAGAAATTTAACCTTTAAAATGCAATAAATAAATCTCAACACCACTTTTCTTCCTCTTTCTCTCTCTGAAGTGTCAAGAAACCCCAGACCATTCCAGACCAAACTCTACTGCCAGCAGTAGGAGCCAGAGAAGTCACTGACAAGACACAGCAACACAGTAAAGATGTTCTTGAGCAAAGTGACTACTTCTTTCCTTTCAGGTCTTCTTTTACCTTCCAAAGGACCAGTTCCATGCAAGCTTTTGCATTTTCACTAGAATCGTGACCTCCAAAGAGTAAAGAATATTTTTTTAAAAAAAGCATTAGACAGAGGATGACTATATCTGTGATGTTACCTACACATCTTCTCAAAATGAAGCCTTCAGATATGTTTGTAACAAAGTTAACACTGCCCCAACCCACCAAAATATAATTAACACCTAATACAAACCCCAACAGTTGCTTTATACGTGTTTTACATAAATCTACTATGTTGACAAACATTGCTCTTTTTCTATATATGTCTTCTGTCACATTGTCACTACCTTGCAGTGACTAGATGGCACACTGCCACCTCAGCTGTGTATCTCTTTTCCAGAAAGGTATAATAACAAAGGAGCAGGTATCACTAAAGGACACAGATTTGGCTAGAAACCAGAAATGTGGAATGCTAGAAAAAGTACATATCTCTAAACAAAAGAATGACATAGGCTACATGATTTTAAAAAGTAGATATTTTACCCAAATTATAAAGCATATAGTTCTGGTGAGAATAATAAATGATATCTGAGATTAGGTAAGAAAACTCATATGGTCAATGTTTCTAAATTGGTGTAATATTTTTCATTTCTTTACTTGTGTATTATTCTGAGAAAACTATGATATCATGTGAACCTTTAGAAGATTTTTAAAATAGGTTATTTTGTTAACTGAAATATTTTTATGTCTATGGTTCAAGACTTTTCCATTATATTTCCAAGACTCCAAAGTATTTCCAAGACTTTTCTATTATAAATTTTATAATAGAACTTTGTGGGAAAACTTTCTGAAATATGAATATTCTGAAGGCAGATAATGTCAATTAAAGACCCTCTGCATTGTAGAATGGAACTTGCATTTTGCACAATTAATGACATGATTGGAAGAGTATCTTTAGAAACATATAGCATTATATTAATAACAATTTTAATATACTTAAAATTAACTTGCTCTACTATTTGTACCTAGAAAGGACCTAAACAGGCATGCATGAATATACATTCCCCACTCTGAGCCAGACACTGGTAAATTGTGCAGATGCTAATGCCACTAACAAGTAATTGGTGGCTGTACTTGTTGTACTTGATTAACTTGTTTAATATTGTGTATATTTCACCAAAAAAAGCAAAAATAGAAAAACAGTTCTGAGAACAAGATATACCAATCTGTTATAAAGCAAGTGGACATATAATGAATCTACTAAATTATACTTGCTATAGTACAAAACACAAATACACACACGCACACACATAATTTACCCTTGGTGAGATAACCTGAACTCGGTCCATTGTAGAAACACCCTCATTTACATTAATGAAAAGCACATATGAAAAGAGGTACACAGCAAAATTTAGAATGGGATCAGACCTCTATACAAACAAAAGCTCTGTGCATGAATTCACAGGGCAAGCACAGGATCTGATCACTGTTCTCAATGAAACTGCTGTTTGGATTCACGTGGAACATCCAGGACTGTTCCAGGCAGTGGGTGGGCAATGCTTTTTACATAAGCACAAGCAGATGCTTTAGGATTCTCCACCATAGAAGAGAATCCATAGAGAAGAACCCGGTATCCTCCCCTAAGCATTTCAGACAGCAAATCTTTGCTATGGATCTCATGGCTTATTCAGTCTTGTCAGACTGAGGATACTGATATTATTCATGAGCAAATGGGCTCTTACCATCATCCTGGATGATTCTCTGCAGGTATTCAGCCACCAGATTCCTAAGGGATCTTTTGTGAGGCAAGCCTAGCCGATGAGGAAACATAACTGAAGTGTCCACAAGTGAAGAATGAATTAACTGTCAAATAAAACAGAAAAACCTATTAGTAGCCCTTGGCAAAGAATAAGGATGCTGATGGCAACAACTAGAGTAGCAACAATACCTATTACATTAGCAGGTAACATGGAGCAGTTATAATGTGTCAGTTACCGGACTAAGCACTTTGAGCAGATTATCTCACTCTACTTTGCAGAGTAACCTAATGATATAGGTATTTTTATTGTCCCTTTTCATAGCCAAGGAAATTGAGGCTTTGAGAGGCTAAGAAACTTGCCTAAACTAAGTAAAGCTGAAAGAAATAAAATCTAAGTAGTCTGATTTAAGAGTCCACACTTTCCTACCAAGAGAGTACTACAGTGCAGGGTTGGTGGCAGCTTGAGTGCCAAGAGGTTCTCACAAGGACTTGGGGTTACTGGAGAGCCAGGTTCTCCCACCTTGTGACTCAGTAGAGAGGGACACACCCCAATTCAGCACATGCCATCTCACATTTCAGTGGTTTGCCAGTCTGCCTCTGACAGGAGGCACGGACCAGAGCTCAGTCCTGTCTAGTTCCAAATCCCCTGTGCTTACACATGGAAGACCCTGACTGAAGTTTTACTGAAGTTTGATAAAATATAAAATATGATAAAATATGATAGAATAGCTTTGGGGTGAGAGGGGTCACATAACTTGAGAACCCAGACTGTCAGGTACCAGCTTGGATTCCTCATTAGGAGAACCATATTTTAAAAGAAGCAGTTAAAGATTAGCCTGAGGACAAGAGTAATTTAAAGACTGAGAAATGAGGAGTCAGAAATTTAGTGTTGAACACCTACTGTGCCTTGCCTGACATACCACTTTAAATTCTCATTTAACACATCAGCCGCCATGCTAAGCACCCATTTCTGCCTGCAGGGTGCCATGTAGGGAAGGCAGGACAGGGAGAAACGTGGTGGAAACTGCTGCAGCCCACGGGCAGGAGGAGGGACTAAGGAACTCCCTCAGCAGACACCACTTGAGTGACAGCAGCCTGTGTCCTAGCACAGGCAGTGCAGTGTCCCTGCCCTCAGGGATCTTCAGAGTAGTGGGGGGAAGTGAAATAGGAGTGGGAACAGAGAAAAATCAGCTTGGGGGACAAGGAAGGTTTCCCTGAGAACACGACACTAAAAGAAAGTGGCAGTAGAAAGAGAGAAAAACAGGAAAATCCATGAGTCATCTGGGTGGAAGAAACAGACCGATTCCAAAGAATGAGGAGACTTGATGGTTTGAAATTTTCTGCTCTGAGGGACAGGCAGAATAGAATGGTTCCTGAGAAATCAGAGACAGGAAAGTCACAGTGAGAGGTCCAGTTTGGGAAGTGTCATCTCTGAGGTGACACAAAGACATCCCTGTGAAGAGCTTTCTTATGGAAACTTGTTATGTCCCCACTGTCTTTTCCCACAGACTGGGAAGGTCTGGGTGGAAGCACATTCCAGCTTATCTGTCACATGCAGTGACAGCACTCCTATTTGGAACAAATATACTTTGGACACCAAACTTATAAAGAAACAGGCTGAAATTCACCTATGAAAATTAAATGGCCTTACTTGAATCCCTGCACTAAAGAACAGACGACCCTTCTCCACATGAAGGCAAGTCCTAGGTGTGGCTGAGACAAGTGTTCAGTAAAGGTCTTCAAAGTTCTAGAGCTGTGTTGTACAATGTGGTAGCCACAAGCCACATGCAGCTATTTAAATTTAAATTAAACGGAACTAAGAATTCATTTCCTTAGTCACATTAGATACCTTTCAAGTGCTCACCAGCCAGCCATATGCACTTAGTGTCTGCCATACTGGATATATATACATCCAGTATGATATATCTATCTATATCCGTATATCTCTATCTATAGCTATCTCTGGTATGAAGAACAGGTGGCCAAACCATGGGCCACAGTTCACTGGCCCCATTCTAGAGAACAGAGCATAAAACAGACAATTTTAACCCGGGGTATATCAAGGAAAGATTTTCAAGTTTATCATGCCATGAAAATGAATGTAACATTAGATTTTGAACTTACCTATAAGCCTACATGATTTAATATGAAAAAGGACCATTAAGTATGTGAATAAAATAATGTTACATAAACTTAGTCTCATTCATTTGACTATTAAAGAAAGTTTGTCAAAACAATGGTTTTTGTTTTACCCTAACTGATGATGGTTCATTCTTTCTGATCTTGATTAGCCAAATGATATGAGCTGTCTCATACTGCTTCTGGCTTGTGGTAGTTAGACTACATCATCAGCACAGCCAATAATTCTTATTTTCTTGGTTAATAGGGAAAATCAAGTATCAATTATAACACAATGATAATGACTACTATCTTAACACACATAATTTTGTAAAAATATTTTTTGTAAAAAAATATGTCGGCCTGTAATTATTTACCTTCAGAGCATACAGACTAGATGCAAAGCTATGTCCAATTATTATAGTATCAGCACTAAACAGGTTCAACAAAACAGCTTGGACATCACGAATTGATGTTGTTGTGTTCTTCAAATCATCTTCCACCACACCAGAAAACCTATCCCAAGAGACACAAAATGCATATAAGAATATAATTCAGTGAATTTCATCATTTACAGTTAGAATATATTATTGTCCCATTGTGAGAAACAGCTCAATAAAACTAAGATCTTACTTGCATAATTGTCAACTACCCCTCTGCTAGGTTACGTTGGTAACTCTGTTTTTGCATAATCTGAGTTTTATCAAATACGAAGTAGTCTAAGCCTAAAGATGAAATGTGAGTAACACAGAAGAATAAATGGAACCCTAAGCAGAGTCTAGACAACCTGGGTTTGAACTATGCTATGACTATGCCAGTTACTTACTATATATTATTTTTAGCAAGTTACTTAACCCTCTGGTCTCAGTGTGCTCATCTGTAAAGTAGGGATAAATTACCAACCTACTGATTTACAAGGGCCCAATGAAAATGCATGCAGGAAAGTGACTACTTTAGTGGCTTTTGTGAAGCACATACTAAATACATGTTCAGTATCACAGCTACCGCTAAGAGAAAAATGGTGCAAAAATATTTTTAACTTAAATTATATGGTGCTATTATCTACTGTAAGGAACCAAAGATACCTGGCTCCATTAGTTAGGAAGGTTTAGTTAGGGAATATGATACATGGATAATCAAATATTTGAGTGAAGAGGAATTTAAAGTTTTTTTAAGATTTAAAGGTTCTTTTATTTATAATGTAAACCTTTCAGTTCTCATTTTGCCATTATGAGTATCAATAATTACCAAAGTATTTCTTGATTTGTTGTAAAAAAAGGAATTAGGGAAGATGCTACCAAACTCTTAAAAGAATAAGAACCAAAAAGAGTACAATAGATGGAGATATTAGCATATGGCCAAAGTGAGTGGGGGAAAAAATCAAATGGAGTTAACAGAGGGATTTGTATGCAAAAAGCATTTTTCGATAACAGCTATCTTCATTGAATGTTTATAAATACAACCATTTTTCTCAACTGTGAGGAAGTTTAGGTTAAAAAAATTCTTAACAGAATTCTCTATAATTATTATCAGCATTTATCATCAAAACAACTTTTTTATGGTCACCTTGCTTTTTTGTGTGCCAAATTTATATACATGTGTATATGTGTATGTACAAGTCATATTTATTTATATGAGCAATTCATATTTTAAGTGCCTTGTTAGAGAAAATTGAATAATAAATTATACCAATAATTACTTCTGAATGTTCACTCTAAGACAAGACTGGTGCCTTCCATTTCATATTTAAATAAGTATGCAAATATATCATATCATATGGATGATATGCCTTTAGAAAATCCAATTTAAAATTCATCAATGATGTCATTGCTGTTTCATATGAAGTTTTTAAAAATTAAAGGTACATCTATATTACACTATCTCAAGTTAGCTTTGAGTTAGAATTGAAAATGTGTCATCCTTTAGTAATAATGATTAATAAAATTGAATATGCACTGAACAGATATTCTGTATGCCACATCAAAGCTAGATATATTTAGGATCATGTCTACAGGATTACAGAAATTTTTACCTGGCAGGAATGATAAATAAAGTATTTTGAGAGGAAACTAATGAATAATTGAATGAATGAAAAAATAAAATAATTTATTCATTGTTTTGCCTGTTTCTTTAGCCTCCTACCCACCATGCTGAGCACCATGAAGGCTGAGGCCTTGTCTTTTATTTAGGGTTATAGCCCAAGGCCTCATGCAGTATCTGCATAATTTTAATAGGTACTCGGTAAAATATAAATGTTTTGCACGAATGAATGAATTAAAGGAATATAGTATATAACTCATTATCTGAGGCTGATTCCAGTAAAGGTACCCGAACTAAAACTTCACATAAACTATGCATTGAATGTTCTCTAGTCTCAAAAACCCCTTCAAAAAAATGCCCACCTAGTGTTGTAGTCAATGACTTCTTCATCTGGTTTCACGAATGTATCATAGACCACCTGGAGGCTGGAATCAACCACCGTCACTCTAGTAAGTTCCAAGCCTTTGGCTGTATAGCACTATTAAGGGAGAAATAATGAATTTATATATTATATTGAGTAAACATATTTTAACATCTAGGATATCTTAAAGGAATATTTCTAACTAGAACATACAACTTAATCATATCATCCAGTTTTGCAAACAAAGGCCAGTCAGTGGACCTGACAATCATGTAAGAGACATTCCAAGCTTTAATGTTTTTCCCTTACTGTTAGTAGTATTTCTGCTAATAAAATCACTTCATTTTCTTGGCTTAGCCTTTACAATTATTTTCATTAGAGACCAGCACTAATGCTCTATTTCTGTCTGTAATGTCCAACAGGGTAGCCACCAGCCATGTGTAGCTATTTAGCATCTGAAATATGGCTAGTGCAAGTAAGGAATAAAATTTTTAACTTTATTTAATTTTAATTAATTTAAATAGCCACATGTGGCTAGTGGCCACTCTGTTGGACAATACAATGACAGACCTTGTTGAATGAAAAAAAGAAAATCCCTACTATAGCTATATTAACATGGCACCACAGAGGATAATATGGCAATGATATTTGATTTCCAAGCCAGGATCAGTACACACTGTTTCCACTTAATGATCTAAGTTTGAAAACTGAACACTGTTCTCTGCCTTTATTTCCCAAATATACTATAGGGAATGAAAATTACATGTTTTGTTAAAGATGACTATTCACATGATGTTTGACATGTACAAAACACTTGCCCATATTTTAACACATTTGATTCTCACAATCACTGTGGGGTTGTTATTACCAACCCCATAATTTATAGCTTAGAGCTGTGGTCCCCAACCCCCAGGCCACAGATGAGTACTGTGGCCTGTTAGGAAGCAGGCTGCACAGCAGGAGGTGAGTGGCAGGTGAGCTCCACCTCCTGTGAGATCAGCAGCTGTATTAGATTCTCATAGGAGACGGAACCCTCCTGTAAACTGCTCATGCGAGAGACCTAGGCTGTGCACTCCTTATGAGAATCTGATGCCTGATGACCTGAGGTGGTGATGCTAGCACTGGGGAGCAGCTGCAAATATAGATTATTGTTAGCAGAGAGGTTTGATTGCACAATAAATGTAATGTGCTTGAATCATGCCCAAACCATCGCCCTGACCCCGCCTTGGTCCGTGGAAAAATTGTCTTCCATGAAACCAGTCTCTGGAGCCAAAAAGGTTGGGGACCACTGGCTTAGAGCATCTAGGGGACCTACTCAGGGGGTCTTGTAATTCCAAATTCTGCTTCTTCCCTCTTTTGGTATTGATTCTCATATAAAGAAAAATAAATCCCTATAAAGGTTTTACTGTTTCTATAAACAATATTTTAACAAGTATTTATTGAAGCTTTCATGCTGATTTTGGGATAACAGACACACTCATAACATTTCCACTCATATAATTGCAGCAATTTGAAGAGTAGAACCACTGATTGTATATAAAGAAAATAAATAAAAGAGACTCATAGGACAATTCCTGGTTCCATCACTTATTAGGTGGATGAACTTGGCCAAGTCACTTAACTCTTTTCAGCTTCAGTTGCTTCATCTAAAAATGTGTGAATAAACATTGCAGAGCTAAGTGTGATGGACAGCTAAGGCCTTGCAAAGCTTAAGACCAGACAGAGCGCTGCACAATCATTCAGTTATAATTACTGCAATAAGGTAAAATATAAAACCAACGTACCATCTCACAATTTACTGCAAACACACCGTGACTGCCATCAGGAGGTGCAACCTTGACAAAAGTCTTCACAAAGCCCTCTAGGTTTTCTTTTTGGTTATGAACATGAAGCTGCAAACAAACATGGTCAAATAAAATTACTCTATGGTTTTCGTAAGTGCAATTAAGCTCATAAAAATTTCATCAACTGAAAATTAGTAAGTTAATTTTTTCAAATGCATATTGATCACCCAGGTCTGCATTAGAGGCTGCAGCACAGCTTCTGATACAAGCAGCATTCTGGGTGACAAGTCCTACCTTGGCGACCTGACACCCGGGGGATCCAAGGACACCTCCGCAGCAGCTGTATCGAGATTCTAAGCCCCCGAGGACTGTAAACCAACCAAGAAACAAAAATCAAAACAAGCAAGCTTTACAAGGCAGGGTCGCTAACTCCCAAGAGCTTGTGTCTTATCTTACCCTCAAAGACCTTCAAAGACCCTACTGTGCAAGTATTAAAACCTAGCACTCTTCACAGTTCCATCTTTAGGTATCACATAATGAATAGGAAAAATCTCCTGTGAGCAGAGTGCTCAGGGGCCGTGCTTTGATAGTGAATATTGTGAACACCTTTTTGCCCCTTTCCCACTTCATCTGCCCTGGCCCCCCAGTTCCTCCCACCCTTTCTTTATCTGGCTGTGACTCCAGAGTCAAACCACCCCAACCATGCTCTCAACCATGCTCTAAACAACAACTCCTCCTGCCTGACCCCTCTTCTCTCTGCAGGAATCCTCTAGAACAGGCGTCCTCAAACTATGGCCTGCGGGCCACATGCTGCCCGCCTAGGGCATTTATCTGGCTCCCCTGGTGTTTTTGCCGCTGCTGCCTGTCCTGCTTAGCAGCCGACTCGTCCTGGGCCCACAGTGCGCATTCTCCAATGGTCTGAGGGACAGTGAACTGGCCCCCTGTTTAAAAAGTTTGAGGACCCCTGCTCTAGAAGATGGGCTGCAACTACCACCTCTTCCCTTCCTGTATTCAAGTTTTTGATCTGACTCAAGAAAAATCCCCATTATGTAGACTGAGACCACAACACAGATGTTGGCTCCAACCTTGGCTGCACCTCTCAAGTCCAGATTGCCCTCTTCTTTTACATTCTTGGCCAAGCACTGTGCACATTCCTCATTGCAACAGCCCCAAGCTTTCTGTATCTTTTCTTAGCCCACTGCCATCATCCATATCATCTATATTCTTCTCCACCCTGAATCCTTCCTCTCTTTGGCCCTAGGTGATGTTCTCCTTAACAAAGCCCTCTGCCTCCCATGGTTTCTTTACTAGTTTTCCTAGAAAATGTGGTTAGGGTGATCTTCCCAAAGTACATTTTCATTATATCACTTTTCTCAAGTACTCCACTTCCTCAAGTTCACTTGCACAATACTGATCAGATACAAATTTCTCAGGCTGGTACTCAAGGCTCTTGCTTAACCAACCTGACATTACTCATCCAATCTTGGCATCCCACCTCCTTATCTAACCTTCTCCTGTGATGAGAAAGGAGGCAGGGGACCGGCATTCCCAGAGCATGCATTGTATGACAGAGATGGGATGCGGCAGGTTGCTCAACTGCCAAAGCCCTTTCTATGAATGTGGTAACAAAAGCTCAGGGCACAGAAGTATTAATAACTTGCTCAAAGAAAGTAGGCAGCACAACAGCCCAAAATGTCAGGTCTGCTGGTTCCAAAGTCCCGGTTCTGCTCATTACACTGCATGGTCCTGTCAGCCCAACTGGTTTGTCTGCTACGCTTACTCTTCCTCAATGTCTTTCCTTCTTCTTCTTTGGAATTCATGGTCCCCTGGCTCCCCCAAAACAAGCCCTCCATGCTTTAAAGACAGGTCAAACTTGTCTGATTTACTCTACTACATTATTTATTCATGTACGGTCCCACATTCTCCTCTATTTCCTTTCCCCTGCTTTGTCTTTTCATAACATTTATTACAATATCATCTGTACTTATGTCCACATCTGCATAAGCAATTCATCTGTGCACCATCGCTCCAAATACTTATTATGGCCTATATGTGTCAGGTACTGGGCTAAATGCTGGGGAGAAAAAAAAGTCAGACAGTCCATCTGAAAATTTATGGTCGTGAAGATGGTAGACAATAAATCACCAAATCACTACGAAACATAAATAGGTGCTGTGGTGGAAAGAGACAGGGGCTGCAGCAGAAGAGGGAGGCCTTATTTTGTAATAAAGTGGGGTCAAGAAAGGACCCTGTGGAGGTGATATTTACACACAGACCTAAAGGATAAGAAGGCACCAGTCCCGTGACAAACCGAGAAAGGCAGCTTGGGAAAGGTGCCCGTGGCATGAAGTTGGTGCGAGGGAAGGGACAGGAGGGGACGGGAGGGGGCAGGGGCCAGGCCAGGCAGGGCCAGCAAAGTCACTGGTGAGTTCTGGCCAAGGTAAAATAGCAATGCCAACAGAAATGTGATGTGAAAAGAAAAAAAAAATCTTATTCTGGCCGGTGTTGGGTGAAAATTCGATGTCAGGGTAGGGAGAGGAAAGGGAAGGGCAGAATAGAAGCAGTGACAGTGAGAGGAGACAGTGCAGCAGTTGAGGACAGACGAGGGTGGTGTGGACTCGGGCGTGGTGGAAGTGCAGAGAAAACACGTTCCCATACATTTCTGAGGCAGAACAAATGGGACTCACACACTGTCTAGATGACAGGGAGCACAGAAAGGAGGCAGTGAGGGTGGCGCCAGGTTTCTGGCTTTAGCAGAAGCCAAAAGAACTACACCTGAGTGGTCTGCAGGGACTCACTGTGCTAGGGAAAGCCAGGGCTGGGGAGAAGGGTGGAGGGTCCATCTTCATGCAGGTCATGCTGAGGTGCCCGTGGGGACCCACATGAAGATAAACACGCAGGGGGATGTTCACCAAAGCCTGGAGTCCAGGGGAAGAGCTTCTTTAGAGACCCACATTTAGAGGACAACAGCAGCTACCTGCTATTTAAAGCTACAAGAAAGGACGAGTTTGTCCAGAGAGAAGGGGTAGAAGAAGAGACAAGTTTTCTGGAAGGAAGATCTAAGAATTTCTGCAACTAGACCATCTGAGGAGGCATACTCAGAAGGGGAAGTTGAAAAGAAGTGGCGAGGGAGGAAGAAAGGCGGAAGTGTGTGTTGTTACAGATGCAGAGAGAGGAGAGTGCTGTAAGGTGGGGTAATGCTGAAAAACATGAATAAAGTGCATCGGAAACAGGCCAGACCCAGCATCCTCAAGGTCACTGGTGTGAGTGTCGGTGGTGAGCAGAGGGAGTGAAGCCGGCTGACAAGGACAACGCTGAAGGAACGATGACATGCGACCAATGATGGAGAGATGAGAACAGCTTGGGAGACAGCGGGTGGTAACTGAGGAACGAGTTTATCCAGGGAAGGGGGTCTGGTGGGTCCCTGGCTAGGTGCGAAAGGACAGGACACAGCACACGGGAAGGAACTTTGATAGGAACAGGGATGCTTCCTCCACTGCAGCCCTAGAAAGAAGCAGATGGTATAGATGTTGGTAAATCTAGTGGCGGGAAGAGCAGGACATTATTTTCCAAAGGCTCTGTCTTCTCAGTCAAGTGTTTGGTCAAGGTCACCTACAAAGAATTGAAGCTATTAGCAAAGAAATTATTATAACGCTGGCATGTAGAAAGGAGGGTGGGGTCTGGAGGTATCTGACTGGAAGTTAAAGAAAAGAAAAGAAAAAACCCAGAAGAATTATAATAGCCTGAGAGTTCTTGACCCCTGAGCTGCAAAGGTAAGGAAAGTGGTGGTCAGAAGTAGATATCTGGAATTGAAATGTTCAGTTTGATACAGCTTCTCTTTCCTGAACTGTATTAAACAAACATATGGAACTGAATACTTTATCCCACTTTTCTCTGAACAGCCTTGGCTCTGGCGTGTCAAACAAATGAAACAGAACTACCAAATACTTGCCTTTATGACTCAACACTTGGCCGAAGTGGTAGTTACATTCTTCTACTCTACTGTGTTTACCTGAAGAAGTCACACCATATATTTTCCCACATCGACAACAGATCTTCTTAGAGGCTAAAACAAAGCATAAAGTAGACTTGTTCATGACTAGTTGAGGCAGAAAAAAATAAATGGACCTGAATGTGGAGTCTTGCCTTTGCATTCTTGATCCTGCAGCAAGCACATACCCAGTGTGATCACAAAGCAACAGGAGAAGTTACAGGATCACTCAAAGGAATATTTCCAAGTGGCATGCTTATCACCCCAGAGCTGTGGCTGCTCAAACAGACATTCCTCTGCCCACCTCCAGAGTCAGCCCAATGCGAGACAATTGTGGTTTTAGTGTCACAATTTGACTGTAGCCAACTTGATCAGTCACTGATCGGTACTGAAATAGGAACAATGTCTTCTTTATTATTTTCTTCTAGAGTCTCTCACAGTAATCTGTATGTTTGTTAAGTTATTAAGAGTATACCCTGGTTTTTAGCTAGACTGCATTCATGAATATTTGTTTTTTATTGATAACCCTCAGACTGGTTTTGGTGGTGATGATAGCAACTCTTATTTGAGTATCTATCATGAGATTAGATTATGAGGCAGGATCTGTGCCAAGCACTTTACATGCATTATTGCAACTGATTCTCACAGTTCCATTATCCCCACTACTCAGAATGAGGAAAGCAAGGGTCGGAGAGGTTAAATGACCGTCTTATCCAGCATCCAAACCTGGATTTGCTTGACTTCTTCCTTGAAGCCCATATTCTTACCCAGTAAGTATACTTCCTTCCGCCAAGGAGATTTCAAAACGCAAAACAAACACAGTGAAGCAAATGGTGAAGATAATCCCAGGGGGGAAGTTCTAAAGATGTAAAGATGAAGATAAATATTTTCTATTCACTGAAGAATATTTCTATAACTGCATTTCAAACTCTGATCATCAACCTAAAGTTTGACAGCTGTGATGTTAAAAGCATGCATACTCTCTCTTTCTCGCTTTCTTTGGGGATGAACATATTAACTAACCATGCCTAGCATTTGTAGAAAATGTAAAATAATAAGACTAATTATAGATGTTTTTGTAAGAATTTGTAATGACAGTGTATGCAGTGTTCAAGACATGGCATTGTGTACGTATATGAACAGTGGCTAAGAATAAGAGCTCTGAAGTTGGACTCCTTGGGTTCAAATCCTGGCTCTCCCACTATTTGCTCAGTGACTTTTGACAGGTTATTTGATCTCTCTGAGCAGCAGTTTCCTCATTTGTGTAACTGGGCATAATAACAATACCCATCTGAAATGGTTGCTCTGTAGAGTTAATAAAACAGATTACTTAAAGAAAGCACTTAAATAATGGAAATGAAGTGAATTGAAAAGGGAAATGAAATAAAATGCATTAATGCTTCTATCGGGGTTTGATTATGCCAGCCCCAAATCTCATTTCCACTTAAAAATGTCAGAACACTGGACCTCCTTGGGTTCCAGTCTTAGCATGCAGAAAGGGTAATTTTCGGCCCCATCTACTTACCATCGTTTAGAAGAGGTTTTGTCATTCCGGGGTTTAAAAGAATACTTCCTGGTTTTTCAGGGTGTGATTGAGGGTAGTTATGTTCATGTAGCTGTTCTTCAATTAGAAGGTAGTAGCCTTTCAGATGTCTGTAGAGAATAGTTTCTGTGAGCACTAAAAAAAAAAAAAAAAAAGAAAAGCTGGCCAATAAAATTTAAGTAGCATTTTTTCGTTTTATGTAGTGCTAAGGTTAGAATTTACTAAACCTTTCAGATCTGAAATTCTAGGATTCTGATTAATATGAAGTAGGATAGTGGCCTAAAAGAATTCCAGGTCTTCATATATATCATCCAACAACAAAATAACCAATATGTTCCCTATACCATGCAACATCATATGCTTTGGGTGACAGCAGGGAAAATAAGAATCACATCAGATTAACTCAAGCACATTCAGATTAGGACTCTGATTCAAACTTTACATTAACTTAGAAAGACAAGTATACTGACTTCATTTTTACAGATAAGGAAGATGAGGCTCAGAAATGTGAAGACACATGATCGAGGTTACACAGCACAACAGATTCACGGACCCAGGTCTTCTGGCTCCAAATCATGATGAGTGATTAACACTCACTCAGATAAGGATACCACAGAAACTTACAAACATGGACCACAAAGAGAAACATGACAATTCTCACATGGCAACAGAGTTAAAGTTCAAGAATCCATTTCCAACAGCATTAACCAAGACCCAGATTCCCTCACTCTGATGGATTCTTTTACAATTTTCTCTAATTTCTTACTAGAAACGCTAATAGAATTTGCCAGATACTCTTCAGTAAATGGTATTGTAAAAGGGCAAGTTCTTTTGTGTGAGAAGTGTCAGAAGACTCCAAAGGCACCTACTTTGAGAGGAGAAGCACTACCATTTGCTTTTGTTCAAAATACAACCAAATTCAAATAACACCTTTTCTCTAGCTTCTTGCTCCTGGGAGCTTGTTTTAAATTCAGGGTTTGAGGTCCTTCCCAAGACCTGAGTAAGACTCCACATTTTAACAAGATTCACAGGTAATTCGAATGCATGTAAAAGTTGAAAGTTTGAGAATCATTGCTCTTTCTGACTGGATATATGTTAACTATCAAAAAAAGAAAAATAGTTGAAAATTCAATCCAAATATTGCTTAAGTAGAAATCCTTTTCCTTCCTATTTATGCTAATTTTTAAAACAAGAATATCAAATATATATAGCATGCAGCTGACCCTTCATAAACACAGCATTTTATTATTTGTATAATACCAAATTTACTTCCCCCTTAAAGTAACCATTACAAGGGCCTATTATTATTATAGAAAGCTTACCAGTTTTCTTTTCATAATTTTTAAATCCAGCTGTCTTGTCATTACTGCTTCCAGACACAACTAAAAGACATAAGAACTTTTCTCTTAAAATAATTATTTTTATCTGTTTCGTAAAACATATAAAACCTAAAAAAATTAAGTAGCATGATAAAATATTTATTTTTATCTTAAAGCAAGTACCCAACATGTAAGACCAAAGATATTCATAACCAATTCCCAGTTGGGAAAAAAGTTAAATCTACTGGACTACTGAAAAGGACAGGATTACATATTGGCTCAAACTAACATATTTTGTATATTAGATAGAGTATGTTTAAATTTGAGTCAATGACTTTTGTATCATAATTTACCACAACTGTAACAACTTGCAAACCATTTCCATTTTCACTGGGAAAATTTAAAATAGGTACTTAGACCTCTATGTTTGATTTCTATGTGCTATATAAAAGGAGGAAAAGCTCCATTACCATGAAAATACTAGCCTGACAGACCCTGAATATTTTAATACATGTTTTTAAATCTATTTAAAGTATTGTAAATAAAAATGCCATAAAGAAATCGTAGATAGTTTTTATATTCTTGAGCTTTGAATAGTCTTTCAAAGTATGACACAAAACCCAGGAATCAAAAAGAGATGAATTACACTTTGAAAATAATGTCTATGTCATAAATACTTCATAAATAAGGCTCAAGCACAAATGACAAACTGAGGAAGGTATCTGTAGCAAATTAAAAGGGTGATATGCAAAGGTTGTCCCAGATAAACAGGCCAATAAAAAGGTGTGTTGGGGGGTGGAGGGTCGGATGCAAATAGGGAATTAAAAATGAGAGAAAGAAAATACACAAAAGTCTTCAAATTCACTAGCAATAAATTTAAAAATCACTAACTTCATATTTGTTCTACATCTTTGCACTCTGAGAGAATAAATGATTTACATTTGGCAAGTGTGAGAAAAACCTATATATTTCTACCTTATTGCAGGGGAATGTAAATGGACAAACCCTTTTTGGAGGCAGTTACCAATATTTACTAATTTCAAACATGCAGACCCTTATTCCTAGATTCTTTGTGTATAAGAATTTATGCTAAGGATACATGTGCTCAGGTAGGAGAAAATGTTAGCATTCACACATATATTCACCACAGAATTTATGATAGAAAAAATGTAAGTACTCTAAATACTCAAATGTCTTTAGTTCATTTATATATTATATTAATAAATTCTATAGAAAAGAATGTATATATAGCATAGGTTCTATACAATAGGATCTCATGTAGGCATTAAAAAGTATAATATAGATCTAGATGTTAACATAGGTTCTAGATTCATGGACAAAAAGGTGATACCCTTAGTCAAAAACTCTACACAAATCTTATTCCTTAGTACTAATTTTATGAATGGGGAGGGGGAGGTGTTAGAAAAAACAATATCTAAAAAGATTTCCTAGGGAGACAATAATGAAAATAAGGTTTACAAATACTATTCCACATAGAAGCAAGTTTATCGTATAACCAAAAAACAAATTTAAATATTTCAATAACTTGTTAATGAAGTTATAATAATATGTCCAATTTAAAATCTGTTACTTTAAACCAAATGTGCCACCTGAACATTCTACTAAAGGGAATATTTTAAAAATATATTCCATTGAAAATCTAACAACAGCTCTGCTAATGAAGAAAACACATTCAGTGTCAGGTACTAATCACAAATTATCTTATCACTTAATTAATCAAAAAGAAATTACCTTGATCTTTTATCTTCTTAAGAGAATTTACTGCTATGTTCATATACATATTTCTACTACCACATCTTTCATATATGGCCTTTTCTTCTGTTTTAGCCTAGATCAAAAATTGAATTAAATGGAAACTATAAACAACACACCTATGAATGATAAATGTCATTTGCAATATAATGAATAAATATAGCAAAATATCTATCTAATCCAAGGAGTGGGGGGAAATGGGACCACCAATAAAAAGCAAATTATTTTACATTTTGTATTTATTTTTTTAGAAGAAAAACTAAATAGTCCTATGAGTATAGTCCAAGAACCAGATACTCTCTCTTCAGACAAAAGACACCCTATATTTGTATGGGGTGTATATTGCAAAGCCTATACAAAGCCTACAGTATACATCAACACATTTGATTCTCAAAGCAAGCCCCAAATCTATCACAGGCATACATTGCTATTCCCTTTTCGAAGATGAGGAAACTAAGGTTCAAAGTGGCTAAATGATTTGCTTAAGATCACACAGCAAAGGGAGGACATGATCCTCTTTTCATTTTTTTCTGTAAAAGTTACTTTCCTAAAACCATTAAGTAATTAGTGTTTTTATATCAGGGGTCATTAAGATAGGACAGTAAAAGGAAAAACAGCTGAACTATTAGAGAAACAAGTAAAGGGAATATTATGATAATAGATAATAGTATATTATTATATTTTTGTACACTTAGTATATGCCCAGTTTGCTATAAGGACGTTAAATGTTTTCTCATTTAATCTTCATCATGACTATATGAGGATGGGTGCCATCATTACCAATTTATATGAAGAAACTAAGGCTTAAATGAAAAGTAAATATCTTTATTGTTCCAGAGCTGGTAATTGAACCCAGGTGTGCCCAAATGCCAATGCCAAGACTCTTCTCATTATGTTAAATCTTCTCAGAGAGAAAGCCATGGGGTTTGAACAGAATAGGGCAGTCATTCTACTAAGTGAAGCATCACAAGAATGGCCGGGTGCGGAGGCTCACGCCTGTAATCCTAGCACTCTGGGAGGCTGAGGAGGGAGGATTGCTCAAGGTTAGGAGTTCGAAATCAGCCTGAGCAAGAGCGAGACTCCATCTCTACTAAAAATAGAAAGAAATTAATTGGTCAACTAAAAATATATATAGAACAAATTAGCCGGGCATGGTGGCGCATGCCTGTAGTCCCAGCTACTCGGGAGGCTGAGGCAGGAGGATCGCTTGAGCCCAGGAATGTGAGGTTGCTGTGAGCTAGGCTGATGCCACAGCACTCTAGCCTGGGCAACAGAGTGATACTTTATCTTAAAAAAAAAAAAAAAAACAACCAAAAAAAGTATCACAAGAATGGAAAAACAAGCACCACACGTACTCACGATCAAATTGATATTAACTAATCAACACTTAAAAGCACATGTAGTAATAACACTCACTGGGTGTCAGGCAGATGGGAGGGGGTAGGAGAGGATGGGTATATAACACACCTAATGGTGTAATATAATTATATTTCTAATGGGTACAGTGTGTACCATCTGAGGGATGGACATGCTTGAAGCTCTGACTTGGGTGGGGCAAAGGCAATATATGTAACCTAATTATTTGTACACCCATAATATGCTGAAATTAAAAAAGAAAAGAGTAGGACAGCAAAGATAAAAATGATGAAAAAAGGCAAAGCTGGAAGAAGAAAAGTAACACTTCTCTATGAGAGGCTCCTTTTTTATTTCTGTTTTGCCATAATTCTTTAACCTATATAGAATCTTAGAGGAGGCAGCCTTCTGGAATGATGGGGCAAGAACCTTCATCAACTTACTGTCCCACAAAAGCAATAAAAATACTAGCAAAACAACTAAAAGCAACTTTTTCAAAATTCTGATAATTAACTAAAGCCACAGAACAAACTGAAAATTGTTTAAGACAAACTACTGAACCTCGGTAAGACTATGGGGTCTGTGACATTTCAGCTTGAGGTAATGCCCACCCTCCCTTCCCTCCCCAGCTTAATGGTACTTATACCTGTGAAAAGATGACAGCCTGGCAGCCAACAGAAAGGACGTATCTCTTTTAGAACTACACTAAAAGCATCATCGCTAAAGCACAGTCAATATTTAAACAAAATAAACAAGCATCTCCATTGCCAGGGTGTTGTATTTGATCATAGAGTTCAGAGAATGAGGTGCTGGGGGTTGGGAGAAGGAGTACTACTGAAACTACTACTAGTTAGTACTACAGTACTACACGGGGTACTACTGAAACAATAGCAATCTGGTGGCAATATCGCAGCTACCTAAAACTATGATGTCAGTTGGTCAAACAAGAGTTTGGGCAGCACTTTCAAAGAAAATCTTGAAATAGATGACACTAAGAGAAATTTTAAAAAGGAGTTCTGACATAATCCTGGGCTTAAAAGATGGCCCAGTTAAGATCTGGGGAAAGACAAGGTCCTATTGCCTCACCAGTGGCACAAGCAAGAAGTGAAGGCTAAGACTTCCTTATAAACTGCCAGAAGTTTGAAGGCACGCCTCCTCACACAGCTCCCCCTGGCAAAGGGAGGAAGAAACAGGGCATTGAAGAAATTTTCTGTAACTGATCATTGGTTCACCACTCAATTATACTGACCCAGGAATGACCCCTAAGGAGACAGTATTAATATTAAAAATAAAAACAAGAACTTAAAAAAGAAGGCTACCAGAGAACTTTGTGACCATACACCAAAAAGAATATAGAATCTACAGAATTAGCTCAGGAAAGGTTACTAAAGAAATAAACAGCAACAAGATAAACAATAAGAAAAACATACCTGAAGCCAGAGGTATTATAGCAAAAAAGTAGCCAACAGAAAATGTCCCTGAGAAAGCCTAGATTTTGGACTTAGCAGACACAGACTTTAATTTACTATTATAATTGTGTCCAAAGAACAAAGAAAACCATGTCCAATAACAGACTTAAACCTAAAGCATGAAACTATAAGAATTCTAGAAGAAAACATTGGAAATAGACATTGGCCCAGGCAAAGAGTTTATGAAGAAGACTCCAAAGGCAATAACAGCAACAACAAAAATAAATAAATGGGACCTGGTCAAATTAAAAAGCTTCTGCACAGCCAAAGAAACTATCATGAGAGCAAACAGACATCTTACAAAATGGGAGGAAATATTCACAAGCTGCACATCCAATAAAGGGCTGATAACTAGAATCTATTTAGAACTCAGGAAAATCATATGAATATGTCAATAAAGCTGTTAATAAAAAGAATCCTTCAATTAGTCCTTCCTCACTCCTATTGTAGGAATCCTGATGTGATGACAACATAGCTTATATTCCAAATATTTCTAGCAATTGGTAGCTCACTGCTTTGTAAAGCAGCTGTTTATGGACAGCATATCCGGTATAAAGAGTTGAAATTTGTCAATTTCAGCATATTGACCTGAAATCTGTCTCTTGTTTCATGCACTCATGGTTCTTTCTATAACCCCTAGAGCAATCTGAATTAGCCTCAATGAGGGGAATGGCAGCATAAAGCCCTGATCTAATGTTCAGACACGTGTTTATCTAGTATTGTTTCAAATGGAGATTTTTAACATAAAAATTCTTGAAAGATTAAAAATCTTTACATATTGGACTTGAAGTCCCAAATTGCAAAAATCCGATGGAGCTGTGTGGTCTATCCCCCTTTAAAGGGGACTTATTCTACCTAGTGAGCCACAGTCCCCACCACTCCCTATTACTTACATAGTCATCTACATGGGTTCTTGAAGATATGCGTGGAGATGGGGACAATAGCTGTTGCCACTTATTTGAGAGGTTTCAATTTGGAAAAAAGGACTTGATTAGAAGTTGCAAATACAAGTGCTTCCAAGAGACCAGGCATGGCCCATAAACAATCATAAGTAGGTATGCAATAGGGAATGGTACAGACTATGGCTCATTAAACAGTATATGCTCCATCTAAAGGGGGCAGATACTACTCAGATTACCATGCTACTGGCTTTTACATAAAAGTCATGGGACTAAAACTGTTTTTATCATCAGAAGTATCCAGGGGACTTTTTATAACTTAAGACAACAAAAAAAGTCATCAAAGAGGGAAGAAAGAACTAGTCCCACAGCCTGGTTTTGAAAAAGCAGTTAGAGAAAATGAATAAAGTTATCTACTAATTGTGGGCCACGAGTTTTTTATTCAATGTATAGTAAGTTTGTGTGAGTATGTCTTCAGATAAATTACATTATACAATACTGACCTTGTTAAGAGCCTCCTCCTCTGTTTTACAAACTTTCAAATACTTCTCAATAAAGAGGTCGAGATAGCGTTCCCTTACTTCATTGGGTACTTTGGGTGAAGATTCTGACGTTACTGAAGCCCTCCTTCGATGAGCCACCTTGTATTTTGGGGTCTTGTTATATACAGAATTATTGATTAGAGAAAACAAGAATATGTGTTTGTGTTATTTCTACTAAGTGTATGAAAAACAGTAAAACTATCCTAGGTAAGTTCTATATCAAAATTAAATTGAAAAGTATTTCAAGTTCATTAAAGGTAGAATAAATAGAAGGTATAAAAATATCAACGTTTACAAAAGGGAGCAGTGAGACTGTCAAGTGTGTGTACACCATCATAGCTGATTAGTCATCTAATTGCACTACTCTTTCCACATCCAGATTCGTAAGGCTGTGGATTGGTTCTCCGATCCACATCTAGCAAAGTCTGTAGTTTACTATATTTAAACATATTTCCCAATGTCTGTCTTTCAGATACCACATCATTAAGAAAAATGCTTGGACTTAAAATTTATAAACGACTTGTATATATTCAATATTAAAATGATCCCAGCTATAAACAATTTTAGCATTTCTTTTGAAGGACTTACAAAAACTATGAGAATTCTAAAATGAATTAATTTGCTTCCTCTTGAAAAAAAAAAAACCTCAATGTTACACTTGTCAGTAGTTGTTCCCATGTAGTGTAAAGACGTTATAGGGAGGAAGAAAACCTTAAAACTGGCAGCTTGTTTTCTGCTACAGAATACTTGGAAAGTGGGGGGAAATCACTGCCACAAGTAGGAGGAAAATTATTTAAGGTTATACTATCATATCACTGACGGTATCATTTACTAAAGACCTGTCTCCCCATCTCTATCTGACATACATACAATACACATGGATACATCCCCTCACTGGACGTAGCTTGACAGATTCCAATGTGAAACTTTCCTTTGAAGAAAAGTTAAGATAAGGTTTAAATTAATCAAAGCTAAAGATGCTTTAGGTTTAAAAAATGCCTTATATTTCCAAGGATAGGATAAACAAAATATCTAAAAGTGACAGATACAAATCATACCACATAATGAAAATAACCATATTTAGCAGCAACCTTTCTCTCTAATTGGTCTGGCATTTATTTGAATTAGAGATCTTCAGAAAGAAAAATATAGCCATTCTTCCAGGGGCTCTCTCTATATGCAAGTAGGATATGATGAAATGAAATTCTGGTATTCAGACTTAGTTTATAATACCTTTACAGAAAGAGAAGCAATACTTTTCACAGGAATGTGTGATCTTCTTGGTTTTGCGGTTGGGTTTTCACTTGAAAGAGCTACATCCAGATGAAGGCTGTTTGATGTGAGTGAATTTTCTAAGTTTTAATGAACAAGAAAAAAAAAGAAAAGGTAAATTTTAATGGCATTAACCTCGGATGATTAGATTTTAATCATTAATTCAAAATTTTACATTACTTCCATCACAGGTTTGAAATATGCATATTTTTCTTAAAGAAAATAAAATTCAAACACACACACACACAAATCTCAATAAACAACTCCAATATAACTCAGAAGAACAAGTTTAGGTAATTTTTAAAGCAATTTGCTCCATGTAAGAATGCTTGTAAAGATACTACCATCTATTGCATACCATTAGAGATAAACATAAAATATTTAAATAGCATGAATAACCATATTATTTCATGTAAAGCTGTGTCATCAACTCAACTATAATTGGTAATATATGAACTTCATTTTAAAAAATAAAGTAAAATCCCATTTCTTAAATAACTGATTAAAAAAAAAAAGAAAAGATTTTCCCATACCTTTCCTTTGGGTCTGAGAGGCTGGACATATAGATTCATTTTTCTTCTGTTCTGAAGTGGCAGCAATGAAAGCCCGCCCACTCTTTACGGCAGCTTTTATATGTGCTGCCTGTTGCTGGGCCCGAATGATTCTACTGTGGCTAATTAGTGATGAAACAGGTCCTTTCCATGGGCTAATGATCTCTTTACTGATTGGAACCTATAGGGCATCAATATAAAACAAAAGAAAATGATTTTTAAAAACTGATGAGACTGATAATTTCACCTTTCTTCTGTCATATAGATTTGGGGGCCTTAAAGCCAACCACCCAGTAAATTGACTACATTGATCATACCATCTGTAATCCAATACATGCTTAATTGAGGTATTCATTTTTGCAATTAAATAATAAACTTTAACAACTACTGAAACACCATTTAAGAAAATTTTCTTGAACTAAAAATTTAAATCTCATGTGCAAATGACACTGTAGGTAAAAATGATAGTCAAATAGCTAATAATTAGACAAATTCTACTAAAGTTATTAGGCTTTGAAATTAAAAGAAAGAATTCTCTGGGTAACCCGACCAAAGTATCAGGTGACTCATTAAGGGAGAAATAGCAGGTAGGTATCAGGAGTTTCCACAGCAGCATGTATTATAAGACAATGAAACACATGAAAGAATGTTCAGCTTCATGAGTTATCAAAGAAATATAATATAAAATAAGGCAACAGAGTTTCACCCAGATCTGTAGGTTAAAAAAAAATGCAATGCCCACTGTGGGTAAGGATTTGTGAGAAGAGAATTCTGAAACACTGAGGAGGACTATAAATTGTCACGACCTTTCTGGAAGGCAATATGGCAACATGCTTTAAAAATCTTAAAATTCTTTTTTTTTTTTTTTTTTTTGTGAGACAAAGTCTCACTTTGTTGCCCGGGTTAGAATGCTGTGGCATCAGCCTAGCTCACAGCAACCTCAAACTCCTGCGCTCAAGTGACCCTTCTGCCTCAGCCTCCCGGAGTAGCTGGGACAACAGGCATGCGCCAACCATACCGGCTAATTTTTTTCCATATATTTTTAGTTGGCCAATTAATTTATTTCTATTTTTTTTTTTTTTTTTTTAGTAGAGACAGGGTCTTGCTCTTGCTCAGGCTGGTTTCCAACTCCTGACCTTCAGCAGTCTGCCCGCCTTGGCCTCCCAGAGTGCTAGGATTATAGGCGTAAGCCACCGCACCTGGCCAAAATCTTAAAATTCTTTCTTTTTTTGTCCATTTACTTCAATTTGTGAGAGTTTAAGAAAGTAACTATTGAAACAATTATAATAAGAATTACAAATGGGAGTTATATAGCACAATAAAATAAAAACTATAAACAAATAGCATTTGCAATTAAAGGGAAATAATATTAGCCTCCAAAAATCTTACTTTATAAGAAAGAAAGAAAAAAAGAGAGAAGGCGGAAGGCAACTAGTTTATTAAGTACCTATAAATTTGATTCTAGGACAGGCACTCAATATTTCTTTCACAGAGAAGAAAATAAAGCTCAGAAAAATTAATTAACTTGCCCAAAGACATTCAACTATGTAAAGAACTGGAATTCATATTTTTATTTGTGACTTGGAAGCATACATTTTTAATGCCATGCAGAAAGTTCTGCCGTCAGTATGCACGAGTACAAATAATTCAGAGACTGGAGCACAGAAATAAAGTTTATGTTAAATATCACTTTTTAACACAAAACTGTTAAAAGAATACTACTCGCTGTGCTGCTTCCACTTCTTTATGTGTCATAAAAGAACTTCAGTATTTACAATATAAATGACAAGAGGTTCAAATTACTTCGAAAAACTACAGCTGATTCTTGTTTGAGGTAGTTACACTCCAAACACTGAATTAGCACACACACTCCTAGGGCAAATAAATACAGGGTTAGGTTTGGGTTAGTATCTGGTAAGAACATTTTTGTCAATCAATATATCATCTTGTTTTACATGTGTGTCATGTTTAAAGATATCTTATTTATACACTCACGGCCAACAGCACTATAACTCCTGCCAGAACAAAGCTTATCTAACACATTTTATCTGTAAGACACATCACAGCCTTTTTGCACTTAGGAACACTAGACAGCACTACACTTACTGCAGGGCCATTTTCAGCATGAAATCACCAACAAAAAGCACAAAAATGCAAAAAAACACAGCACTAAATTGACTACATAAGGACATCTGTTTATAGCATGAGAGCTGAAACACTGAACAATGAGTACTGCCTTTGTCAATTGATAGTTAAAAGGCTATGCAATGACAATATGCCTGCTTTTAATGAAAATGTTAGATAATAGGGAGAAAAGGAGGACATGGAAAAAGCGTGCAAATCATAATCAATTTACTCACTGCCCACTTTTGCCCCCTGGTGGATGAGACGATAATGAGTACTAGAATATCTTAAAGCTGGAAATGACAAAGTACATGTGCACTTTACAAAGTTTTGTGCCAGGTGGAAATAAACAACTAAATGACTCACATCAAATTTGGCAGTGTGCGCAATTCTCTTTTTTGGTCCAGAAGTGTTTTTGTAATGCAACATATCTTGCTTTCCTGAAGCCTAGTGGGAAAAAGATAAGAATTACCCAACTTCAGCATAGTAAAGGCAAATTTAGCATGTTTCTTGAAAAGCCACAGGAATCTAAACCGCAAAATATGGGCAAGTTATTAAGAAAAAATACACAAAAACATTGAATGTGGATAATTTCACATATAAAAGAATCCTCTAATTTGGGAAATCAACTATAAGTTACTGTATGTAATACTATGACTTCTGGAAACTGCCAACTCTGCAATATGCTCTGGCTGGCCAATTATCAAGGCGTCTGTTTTTTCATTCCAATATATCATCGCTCAAAACTATTAGAATATATATTCTATAGGATTTAGAATATCTACATTTAGAATTTAGAATATGTATTTAAGGGAAACTTATTTAGATTTAGGAAAAGGAGGATAAAGGTAAAAAAAGCCCACCAACCTGCTTAGCAATCTCTTTTTTATGAGCTTCACTTTGTGTGAACTCATTGAAAATGTGAAGACATTCCTGCATAATTGCATCAGAATCAGAGGGGGTGTCATCTCCAGTAGGCCCCTTATCAGCATCAAAGTCAGCTAATTTGCTGTCTTCAAAAGTAGTGAATTCCTTACTATTACCTTGCATTCTCAGCACATTGTCTTTTACAAGCTCCTCTGAATAAAAAATTGGGGGCTGACTTGGGGAATGCCAAGATTCTATTTCTTTTTTTTTAGTATTATAGATTGTTTTTACATATTTTTTGCTCTTTGAATAACTTTCATTATCACTTTCTTTGAGTATTTCTTTGTCACTGAGAGGTACATAACATACACCTTCTTCTGAAATAGAGTCATGCTTTTTCTCATCCCCAAAGCTTCCCATCTTAGATATGTGGGTTTTAACACAATACAAGTTGACATTACTTTTAATGTCTCGTGATGTATTCATGAGCAAAGTCGGTGGTTCCAATCTGTTATTGTCATCATCTATTTGTGTGGTTATTTGGGTTTTACCTATTTTTTCCTCTTCTGTGCCACTAATTTGAAGATTGCTCTTCTCCAGGAGCATGGTATGTATCCTTTTATCCTCATGACGCTGTTGGAAGCCTCTAAATAGTCTAGATTTCTTAGAAGTAGACATGACTGGAGGTACATCTATTACAAGATCATCTTCATCAGATTCTTGAAGATTTATTTTAATTTTTATTGGTGAAGCATAATGCCTTTGGCTCTCCAGGGCTGTGCCGCAATCTTCACCCACAGACTTTTTCAAGTGGCAGAACTGCTGTCGATCGGTGTCATTCAGCTTTGCTTTAGATGCCCCAAGCAGCTCTGCAGTATAATTGAGCAAAGGATCATATTCGAGATCAGTTGCTGGACATCTGTGGTCTATCACATACTTTCTGGGCTCACTGTCTTTGTTCTTTGATGATTCATTCTGCTTTTCCTTTGGGAGCAGGCTATTTTCAGGAAAATCTCGCCTCACATTTGTGTCAACTGAGGCAGCCATACGGCCTTGAGTTAGTTCGCCAAGTACTGAAGTAAACGTAGCGAGCCTCTTCTGCTCTTCTTCAACCTCAGTCCTGACTAACTCAATTTTTCTGTTAATTCTTTCTAGTTCTTCCATAGATGTACCTAGTGCTGACAATGGATAATGAGTTTTATTTTATCTTTAAAATCAGTTAATATGAAATGCAATTTCCAGAATTTCCTGGACAAAGATCTTCCTGTCAGAAGGACATTAACTCTTACAAACCCAGCCTTAAACCCAAGGGATGCTTTACTAAGTGATCTGTTCTAGAAGAAGGAGATGTCAACAACTGTCACTGTCTTTCAAGTGTCTCACTCACTCCTATCACTGAAGTACATTTGTGCCTTACTACTACAGTGACTATGCATCAGTGGGACAGGCCTGGTCTACGCATAATTATTAAACTGTGTTAAACACGACACAGTTTGGATATAAACTATCCACTTTATTATTACTGACCAGTGGCAATTTGGAAATGCTTCAAATAGCTGAATGCCACTTACCCAGGACTCATTCACTGGTACATCTTCTCTGTCCCTGAGAAAGTTATTTAAAGAATTAGTCTTTCCTTCATTTAGTGACTCTGAACATTCTCATTGAGGTCCTTGATGTCTATAGAATGCTTTGAACAGAAAATAAAATACCCCTCCTACAACTATAAAAATCTAAGACTCTTAGCCAATGTTCTTGTATGGAAAAAAAAAATAAAAAAATAAATAAATAAAAATCTAAGACTCAACAAACTAAACTCCAGAGCAGCCCGAACCACACTCTTCAGCAAACCCAGGATAGTGATAAGACCTGAAGTAATGGCCCTCCACGACACCCTGGCAGCTCCTTTTGGAATTACTAGCGGCAATCACAGCCTCATCCCTCTTCCCAAGACATACTTTCCTATATCAATTACAAGATAATTTATATACTTCGCCCTTCTCCCAAACAAGAGATTTCCGATGTGGTCCAAATCATGCTTTTTAAAACTCTGAATTTTATATAACCTACATGTTTTGATCATACCAACACTTCCTCTTTACACAATAAACTCAACAGCCTTTCAACTTACCATTCATTTCCTATTAAGAAATTAACTTGACTGAAATCCAAAACAATACATTTGGAATGTGACATCTTGAGGGAGGAGGAGAGGAGCAGGAACAAGAATGAGAATTATTTTAGGATCCAAAAATAAATGCCTGGGTCTAAGTTTTCACTTTAAATAAATGTGGAAAGAGCAGTACACTCTGCATAACCAGCCGGAAGTGCTTTTTGGCATAAGCTGGGTTTTATTTGGTTGCCATGATTGAGGAAGAGCTGTTAAACAGTGTTTTGGGGGCACTACTGGAAAAAAAAGTGATTATACTTTCCTTCCATGTTATAAGCAGTTTAAATTTTTTTACTGCACCAGAAGCTAGGTTTGGAGGGCTAATTTTGAAGTTTGAAGGCACACTTAATCTTTCCTCAGGCTAGAGGTGATTGGGAACAGCTCCTTTTGATTGGCAATTACTCCTTGGCTCCACCAGAATTAACCAAGGCCTGGCTTCCAGTTCCCAGCTTACCTCTTCAACTGGGGTCCCCCCCCCTTTCCACAAAAGCACAGGAAGCTCCTTACAATAATTCTAAGTGGGGGATGGGCAACAGGGAGAGAGGACAAGACCACGCAGGTGCCTCTTTCAACCTGCAACTTTGTGCACACCGTTCTGGACGCCTTTTTAGGATCTCGTGGTCCCAGGAGCTGGCATTTATCTGTTCTTACAAGGTCCTCGTCCCGCTCCCTGGCCTTGTGACTTTGGCCCCTCCCAGATGTGAGCTGCGCGAAGACACCCGCACGGGCGTGGGGGGGGGTGGGGGGGCGCTGCAGGCGCCCAGAGTCTGTCTTCATAATTGGGGCGCGCCCCTCCTCTCTAGCGGGAGAGGTGACGCTCTTGGGACGGCAGCCCAAGCCATCGTCTTCCCCAACATCACGAGGACTCCTCCTCCCAAACCCAAACCCAGGGTTTCAGGAACTGCGGACCACCCAAAAGGCCTGCGGAAAACGCCCCCAAACGCGACCCCGTGGCACCCTCACTTGTCAGCGTATCTCAGGACGTACTTGCCGCGGGAGGGACGAAGAGAGAGAGAATGGGGGATAGAACTTCGGGCAGATCCCGGGCGCGTGGACACTGGGAAGACTTACTCTTGAGGACTCAGAGCAACTTGGTTCCCAGCTCTAACGCAAGTGCTGGTGGTTCCCTCGTCACAGCCTGCCTATAGGAACTGACCGTAAGTACCTTAAGTAATTAAGGCAGAGGAAAACACAAAGCAGCGAAATACAACTCTAGGGGTGGGAGAACAGAATTTAAATTAACGTTCCTGTTGAGGGGCTGGGAGAGGCAGGTCAGGCACCAAGGGAAGAAAACAAAAAGGCATTTAAGAAGTGGGGAGAGACTGATAGGCTAGAAAGGAACTGTTTTTTTATGCCCTTTTGGGGAAAACAGGTCAGATGTCCAGAACAGGTACCTGCTCAGGAGATGCAGGTTTAGCTAGTGATGGCATTGGGGTCAGCAGTGGACAAATGAGAAGACCCTCCCACAACTTCCAGACCAGGACACCACTGAGGACTCTCCGACATTCTTTATGTACACTCCCTGCCCACACTTTCAGCTCCCTCGCCACATCTTGCCTGCACTTACAATGTTATCTAGAAACTATGCCGACTGTCTTGCGGACAAGAAGCCCGTTTTAAAACATATAATTAACAACATCTCTCTTTTGGCCATTTTAGACATCCTAGCCAGAGTAATGCTATACTCAACTTTCTTTCTCTGCAATGCTTTCTTTAGTACTGGAGACAAGGTATGAGTCAAAAGTGACTCTTACACCTATTTCCAATGAAGAAAATTCTTGGCACCTCACAAGGTTGGGTGGAGGGAATAGCTGGTCTTCAACCTCTTCCCAAGTCCACCTGGCACTCTTTTGCACAACCCTTTCTCACCCACGGACTCAACATGACTCCTTTGCACCTGGAATACCTCCATGCAGCTGCATCACCTGCCTCACTTGGTTCCCACCAGATCTTCAGGTGCCTGAACTAGCAGTACAAACGCTGGCACCAACCCCTGTGCCTGTCAAAAGGGCATGGAAAATGGCAAAAGTAACCTGCAGAGGATAGCGTGGACTGCTGCTCAAGGCCACCCCCACTGGCTCAGAAACCGTGTGCACTATTGGGAGAGATCCGCCCAAGGCGAGCACCCGTTCTGCTACCTCTTTTCTCTCCAGGGTCCCATCTTATATAGTCCATTACTACTCAAAGGCGGAGCTTCGTAGCTTTCCCAACCAATGATGAGTTAGACCCAGGCTGGTATCTGGGTGGAAAACGAGGAGTGAAGGCGTAAGATAATAGGGGAAATGGCAAGTGAGAGTAAAGTATGTGTCTATTCTCCATGGGGAAGAAGGATCACAGAGACCTAAGCCCAACACCTGAGTTACCGAACCTCATGCCTCTTGGCTGTGGGGCCTATTTTGCTTCTAAGTCCTTTGACATTTGTTGTAAGTTTGACTATTAACCCTCATGGATTATGGAAAGAACTTCAGTTTGGAAACACACTGTAGCTTTGTCTCTCTCTAGCAAGTGATCTTAGGCAAACTTACCTGAGTTTTCATTTTTGATCTGTAAAATAAACTCACCTTTCGTAGGGTAGTAGAATTAGAATTCAATGTGGTGCAATGTAATAAAGAGCCTAGCATAAAGTAGGCCCTCAATACATGGAAGCTATTGTTATGGCAAAACCTGAGGAGGGCAATGGAACCTGCAGTGAGTTCTCCTACTCGCCACATCCACACATAGCTGCACGAGACACGCTGCATGCCCCTAAAATCCCTCCATTTGAAACTTATTTCCAAAAGAAAAATTTATCCCTATTCCATTTGTCTTCTTTGTAAATTGAAATACTCTGGGTATGGATAATCTCAAAAGTCACTAATAAACTAGAATTAATCTTTGAGATGCTTTGCTTCTCTCCAGATAGAACATTATGATCCCGAATGCCTGGGGGAAGAGAAAAATGTGCTTCAGCTCTAAAAGATTCAAGTTCAGTGAGTCCTCCTCACTCCTCACCTCAGTCCTTCCTGCTGGGATCCCCTCTTTCTGGCGGAACACCATGTTATCTCAAATGATTATGGATTCTTTAGAAATGGAAAAATATCTTTTATTCTTACTGTTTGTCCTGTGAGAGCAGCCCTGATGACTTTTAACTCAAGAATGCCAGGAGTTTCTACCACTACTTTTGTTTCATCTCTTGATGGCATGGATGGTTTGCCAATAAAACGTGCACAGGTGTGTTCTTTTTGCTTTGGCGGCACGGGGGTGGGGTGTGGGGTGGGGGGTGGAGTGTGGGGTGGGGGGTGGGGGGGCTGGAGTGCATAGGTAGTAGTGAATGACCTGGAAGTCCTCAGAACCCCCCCAGGGAAGGTAAATATCTAAATCTCCTCACTAAAAAGAGAATTGCCTAGAATGAATACCTTCCAGAAGTCACTCTCTGGGATTGTTTTTACTTGATGCGTTTTCTATATTTTAAATTATTTACTGTTTTTTTTCCATTAAATTTTTATAACCAAGATAATTTTTATTGAATGTATCTTTCTTTCAAGACACCAGAATATTTAAATGCTGAGCAGAGTTTCAAAATTATGACATTAATATGAGGCACAAAGAAAGTTTTATGACAAAGGAATTAAAGTCCTCTATTTGTAGATTTAATTTGGATTCTCATAGTTCTCTAACTCATCATTCATGCCTGTATCTTCTGAGCCTGTGGAAATGATATCTGTTGTAGTTTTAGATTTTGATGTTCTCATATCTGTAGAATTATTGCCCCAATATGTGCTGCTCTCTGCACTCTTAGAAAAAGATGTATCTGATACACCTTCTGATGGATGAAAGTAAGACATAGTGGCCAGCTCTGGGTTGACGGAGTAGTATTGACTACTACAACTTCTATAACTGAAAAAGAAAAGAACTTATATCAATATCAAGAAGTGGTTTTAATTGCACACATTTGTTATCAACTTAGAAAAGCATCCACAAAATTAAAATATATAAATTCTGTCTAATGTATTAGTAACATATGGATGATAGTTTTTATTTAATTGTAATTTTATTATACTTAATACTTGTTTGAATGAAGCATGTTTCAAATTTCAAGACTAGGATTTGAAACCAGTTTACTAAAACAATAAAAGTTGCCTTAATAAAAGTTTAATAAGAAACATGTACAATGAAATTAAATTAGGGGGAATAAATACCTAGGGTAAAAATACAGTTTTAATGGACCAGAGAAATATGCCATTCATCAAAAACACCATAATCAAAAGAATGGAATTAATGATAATTGTGAATATTAAGCAATTTTGTTGGGATTTTCAAAAGTAGTCTGTTACTTTTTAAATAATTTTTAAATAATCCCTTCATCAGGCTTGAATTGAATTTAATATTTTTGTAAGAGCTAATGGATAGGACTCAAGGTGTAAATGTGACAGAGATTTGCTGTTTTTGGAAGGTCCCAGGCTTGCTTGAATGAAAAATGTTAGATGCTGAGCAGATGTGCTATTTAGAACAGAATATATAGCCCTTTTGCTCCCAGGCTATTGGGGGAAAAAAAAAAAGAAAAAGAAAAAAAAGGAGAAGCCTATCTAGAGTCTCTACATCCTTTCTAATTAACTAGAGTTATTTCTGTCTCTAGATGACTATCTAAAATATTGGGGAAAAGTTCAAGTAAGATGTTCCCAGAGAGACAGTCCCATGATTAAATTAACAAGCTTCTGCACAGCCAGGGAAACTATCAACAGAGCAAATAGATAACCTACAGAATGGGAGAAAATATAAACATGTTATATATCCCATAAAGGAATAATAACCAGAATCTACAAAGAACTCAAGCAAATCATCAAGAAAAAAAATCAAACAACCCCATTAAAAAGTAGGCAAAAAACATAAACAGAAACTTTTCAAAAGAAGATAGACTAATGACCAATAAACATATGAAAAAATGCTCAACATCACTCTCATCAGAGTAATGCAAATCAAAAACACAATGAGATATTACCTAACCCCAGTGAGAATGGCTTTTATCAAGAAGTCCCAAAACAACAGATGCTGGCATGGATAAGGAGAGAAAGGAGCACTTATACACCATTGGTGGGACTGCAAACTACTGAAACCTCTATGGAAAATAGTATGGAGATTCCTTAAAGAACTGAAAGTGGACCTACTGTTTGATCCAGGAATCCCACTGTTGGATATTTACCTAAAGGAAAAAAAGTCAGTTTGTCAAAAGAACACTTGTGCTAGAATGTTTATTACAGCACAATTCACAATTGCAAAGATGTGGAATCAACCCAAATGCCCAGCAATTCATGAATGTATCAATAAAATGTGGCATATGTATACCATGGAGTACTACTCAGCCATAAAAATGAATTAATACCTTTTGCAACAATCTGAATGGAATTGGAGACCATTCTCATAAGTATCACAAGAATGGCAAAACAAATACTACACATACTCACTGTTAAATTGGAATTAACTGATCAGCACTTATGTGCACAGATGGAAGTAAAACTCAGTGGACATCATGCAGGTTGGAGGGGGGAGGAGGGGATGGTTGAAATCATACCTAACGGGTATAGTGTACACTATCTGGGGGATGGGCACACTTATAACTTTGACTCAAGCAGTACAAAAACAATCCATGCAACCAAAACATTTGTACCCCCATAATATTCTGAAATAAAATTAAATAGAAAACATTAAAAATCAAAATGAAAACTGAAAAATAAAAGAAAATAAAATATTAGGGAAAAGTTCAAGTAAGATGTTCCCTGAGAGACAGTCCCATGATCCTTCTGAATAGGGGAAATGGAGTCAAACTGAATACCTTATAGATAAATTTTGGGGTCACATTTTTCTAACAATCTACTTAAGAAAGGAGAGAGAGGGTTTGACATCATTCATTAGTTATGGAGACTGCAGAGGTCTGCAGACTTACCTGAGCTGCTTCAGTTTGTACAGTGTGGCAGCACAGAATGCGCAGAGGACCACAAAAAGGATGAGGGTCATCAACGAGATGCCCAGCATTAATTTGATCTTAAGATCCTCTAGATCTGGCCGCTTGTTTGGGGTTGTGGCATTCAAATCAGAATCTGAGAGGAAAGAAAGAAAATGCAATAGAAAATAGTGTGTTCTTTGTGTTTCCCTGAGGAGTAAGGATTGCAAAGCAAGTGCAGAAAAATCCTCCACCATCTGGAATAGTCATTGCCCACTCCCCCCTCCCCCAGGCAGTGCAAAGGAGAAAGCTACTCCCTATGGTCCAGTACTCTTAACTTTTCCTTTAACCTTCACAGCAATCCTGGTGGAGCTGTCCTTAGCTCCATTTTACAGGATCACAGAAGTTTATGAATTTGCTCATGGCACAGAATAAGTGGCTTCAAACTCAGGTTCCCGATGTCAAAATGTGTATGTAGCAGTCTTCCTCCCTAACTTTACTAGAAACCAGTTTAAATAACCTATCATCTCTGAATGGATAGTTATTAAAAACAATTGGCTTACACACAAGAAACTAGTCCTTTAGGAGGGAAAGCTGTGTGTTCTACTGTTGGGACCCGTAGTGATTTTTCTTTTAAGGTAAAGGGATAGGGTCTGGAATGCTTTCTCTATGAGGCTTAGGAGCTTTGTTCGCCACTTTATTACTCAGAAGATTGAACCTAGTTCACTAGACATTACAAAGAAAAATGGAAACAACTTACTTAACTTTCTAAGTTAAATTATATCTGGATCCAGAGATATCAAGACTTTTTACTAAATTTATTAGTGAAGATGTATCTTTACTACCAAATTTTACATTTTCCTGAACATATATCTGATTTAATAAACATTATATAATTATGATTTTAGATGACCGTGTTGTTATTTCCTTTCTTCCTAGTTTCGTCCCACAAACCCAAAAGTTCCAAAGGTTCTTTTTTTAAAAACTATTTTCTAGGTAATGATGTTTAGGTAATAAGCAATGACAAACTGCCATGTCTGTATTCTCTGATTTTTAGAAGTTGTAATTGTCAAAGCATGACCTCAGACTAAGTAAAGTACAATGTATACAGTTGTATACAGGTGTCAATGACTGTTTTATGGCTTTGAGGCTGATTATTTTGGAAATAAATTATGTTAAAATGGGCTGGGCTCCTGAATTGCTATTCTAACACCTGAAAGTGTTTTTTATAAAGAGGTATGCTCATAGTATATTTTACTGATCAAGTTGATATCAGAACTAGAGAAGGGTTTGGAATTCCTAATCAGTGGAAGTTACAGAAAAGCTAATTACAAGCGTGGACAGGTTTTCTCTAAACCTCAGTTTCCTCATCTGTAAAATGGAGATAATACCAACTTCATGGAGTTGCTGTGAGGACTGACATAATGTATCTAAAGTATCTGGCATGTAGTATGTGCTCAACAAATAATAAAATCAATTGAGCTCAATTTAGTCACTTAAATATTAAATAAGAGAAATAACAAAGTATTTCTAAAATGACCCAGCATTGGTCATTCCTATATATAACTTTTCTAAATAAAGAAGAATCACTCCATTTCCTTGAAGCACCACAAGGCAAATGGCTATACTTGTCAAATAATAGTTTAGAGCTGAGGAGACAGATCTTAGATACATCATCGGATGCTATTTTTCAATCATTTATTTGTAGGACAGAGGTTTCGGGGGAAATTAACATATTGCTTTGTCATAAAAATTTCTATTCAGATAAGTTCTTTTATAAATATAATTAATCCATTAATGACAATTGTATTCAGCAACAGGAACTCACATTCACTGCTGGTGGGAATATAAAATGGTACAACTACCTTGAAAGTTTGGTTGCTTGTTACAAAGCTAAACATACTCTTACCATATGATATAGCAATTGTTCTCCTAGGTAGTTACCCAAAAGACTTGAAAACTTATGTTCACACAGATGTTTATAGCAGCTTTATTTAGAATTGCTCAAATTTGAAGCAATCAAGATGTCCTTCAATAGGTGAATGAACTGGGGCACATCCATACAATGGAATATCAGTGATATAAAGAAATGAGTGATCAAGCCACAGAAAGGCATAGAGGAATCCTAAATGCATATTGAGAAGTAAAAGCAGCCAATCTGAAGAGGTCACATACTGTATAATTCCAACTACATGACATTCTAGAAAAGACAAAACTAGAGAGAGAGTAAAAAGATCAGTGTTTGTACAGGTTTGGGCTAGACAGGAACAGAGGAATGAATTGGTGGGGGCAGAAGGGATTTTAGGGCAGTTAAACTTGTGTATGTTACTGTGATGGTGGATACATGACATCGTGCATTTGTGAAAATCCCAAGAACTGTATAACACAAAGAAGGAACCCTAAAGTAAGCTACGGACTCAGTAATAATGTATCAGTATTTGTTCATAAACTATAGCAAATGTACCACACCAATACAAGGTGTTGATAGTAGGGGAAACTAAGGAGGGGAGATGTGGGAATTCTGTACATCTGCTAAATTTTTCTTTAAACCTAAACTGCTGTAAAAGTCTATTTTTAAAAGACTGCATTCTATATATTCTACCCCATTTGGTTTACCTGTTTCAAGAATGAAAACTACAGAACAGGAAAATGGTAATAGTTATCTGCAAAATGTAACTGGAGAAGAGTGCTTAAGAGCTGTAACCCTCCTAAACAGCCAATGTCCACTCTGACAGGATGCTAGCGTTAGCCACCACAATACCCACTTAGATACACCATACATTATGAGGGAAAATAGTATCACCATGCAGGAACTAAAATGTGTGCGAGTATTTATGTATCTATTAATTGAAGTACTTTGTTCTTACTTGGAATTGGGTGGAATAATTGATCTTTATCGTCCATCCCCGTTGTTCCATTTATAGCTGTTGAAACAATAAACTGGTGTTATGGAAACAACATTCATTTGCTAAAATTATTGTATGTTTATATGTATGTATGTATAACATGCACAGTCTGTCCTCATTGTTCATGGTGGTTATGTTCTCTGAAGTCACCATAAACCTTGAATTAGCAAATCCTGAACTGCTGCTCCTAGGGGACGTTATGGGGTTAGATTCCTGTGAGTCTGCTCACAGCATTTTCATCAACTGATCAATACATAACTTTGTTTTATGTGTATTTCTGCTTAGAGATACTTTAATATAAATTGGTGATTCATTAACATTGAACTCATAGTAAACCACACTATAACTCTTGTCTGAATGAAGCTTCTCTAATACACATATTTTCTCTGTCAGGCACATCATAGTTTTCTTGCACTTAGGAACACTAACCAGTAATTTGACACTGCACTTGGGGGCCATTTTAAACAGCAAAATAGTCAACAAAAAAGCATAAAAATTTAATTGAAATGGTGTTATAAGGACTGCAAAAATGGCACTTATCTACAGTATGAGAGCGGAAAAAAGAAGGCAGATTATTGCCTTGTTCTACACCTCAGGTGGGAATGTGTGTGTCAGGCAATGAAAATTTTTCAAAACTTTGCCATGTCCACAAATGACCCGGAAGGTGCTGCAAGTATTGATTTTGGGGTGACAAATATTAGTGAGTAGAGGAAACAGAATACAATTATAAAACAGAAATACAGAATATGCAAATAATGAGGATCAACTGAATGTGGTATATATTTTACATATATAATGCATATATGTCTCTGTGATATGTGTATTACATTTATACATATATATATGTGTGCACAAACATTACATTTATACACACATGCATAGAAATGATGTGTACATTACATTGTACATACATGCTTATATATTTATGATAGATGCATTACTTTTATGAATGCAAATGTTTTGATATATACTTTGCGTTTATACTTGCATCTCCACATGCTTACTTACATAGTGCTCCAAATAAATTAAATTGAATGACTAGATTTTAACATTGTAGGAGAATAAAGAATTTGCGAGGGCTATTAGAAAATGTGTGACAGTTTATTACCTTTCTGGATTTGTTTTGCATTTACTTATTACGTGTGGCAGCAAAATGTTGGACTTACTGACTCTTTGTATGAGAAGTATTTAGACTGATCTTGGTTTTCTAACACAGATTTTAGAAATCCAAAACATTTTCCCAGCTACCTAACTGTATGAATTTACCTTTAGCTAACATTGTCCAAAATGCAGGCACATTTGGGGTTGTTTCTGTTTAAAAAAAGAAAAGAGAGAGAGAAAGAACAGGATAACAAAATAAGGCAATTGGCTTTGGTAACACTCATTCGTTAGTTTAGTCATTTAGCAGTTATACTTTGAGTTGCTATCATGTTCTAGACCCTGCTGTTGGCACTAGATTATACAAGTGAACAAGGCACAGGAGTTATACTCAAGGAACCCACCTTTATTTTGGATGCAGACAAGAGCCATTGTTGATTATGTTGCAGGATAATGAAAGCTTTAATACAATGCACAGGCGGTATGCACAGGACCTAATTCAATTTGTAAAGGCCAGAAACCCTTCAAAAGGGAGATGATTCTCCAATATAGGCTTAGAGGACTAAGAATTGTTTACCAGGCAAATGAGGCAAGAAAGAACTCATTCTAGCTATGAGCAAATTCAGAGTCATAAATAAGCAGGTTCAGTAGGCTCTGGGAGTTTCAGGTAGTCTGAAGTGAAGAATGTAGTTGGGGAATGTGATCAGAGATGAAATTGGAAAGTTTTCACAGTGGCCAGAACATTTTGGACTTGATATGCTTGGTTAAGAAGTTTGAACATGACCTCAAACCTAGTAATAAATTACTCAAGTCATTTAAGAAGAAGGATACCAGGATGATCAGGTTTCCATTTTAAACATACCAGAAAAAGTAGATACATTTTTTTAGTAGTGTTAAAGATGCAAACTAATTCAGAGTAATCATATTAGAAACATACTTGGATTGCATGAACTAGAGAAAATAGGGTTTCATGTAATGACAGGTAAGTATTCATTGTCTTCAATTAGACCACTCATTCAAGACCTTAGAGGAGAGTCATCCTGCGTTGTTATGGTTTCACAAACATTTTATAGGGAACAATATTCTTGGCAGGAAAATGAAACGGTGAGTTTGATTTTGTAGCTTCTTACTCCCAAACCCCCATCTTGAATAATCTTAGGAAATACTAATAATTGACTCTAACCAAACCAGAGATATGTTTGTCCTCAAGTAGGTAAAAATTTTTATATTATTATTAAAATAAATATTTAACATATTCAATATATTTATATATGATAAATACAAGTTTAAATTTATATTTATAAATATATAAGTATATTTTATATAATTATAAACAGATTAATTCATAAATCTGTATTTAATATAGGTATAAATATAGTTATTTTTTATTAAATTAAAATTCTATTTCTAAAAAAGATCACCTCCCCTCCTTTGTCAGGTATATTTGAAAATTGACTCTTACACATTTACTGTTTAAAGGATTTTAGAATGACTTTAAAATGTAGCAGTATAAATTCTTTAAGCATGCTATTACTTTATATTATGCTCAGAGTAGTGAAACTTAAATTTTTAAGTTATATAATGATATACTCCAGGTATGAATACATTGTAATAGTTTTAATACTTTGAATGTTTTTATGAGAGGGTACTTGAGTTTCTTCTTCAGGTTTTCCAGAAGCATTGAGGAGTTTAACTAGGAAAACAGAAAAAGGATTAATGGCATATAAAAATACGGACTAAGCATCTGTGATTAGGTATATTTTATTGTTTGTTTGTTTTAGAGACTGGGTCTCACACTGTCACCCAGGCCATAGTCCAGTGGCACAATCATAGCTCACAGCAGCCTCAAATTCCTGGACTCAAGCAATCCTCCTGCCTCGTCCTCCCAAAGTGCTGGGGTTACAGATGTGAGCCACTATGCCCAGCCTGACTATGCATATTTTAAAGCTACAAATGGAAGAAAGAAGAGAGAAGAAATGGAAGAGAATGACAGTTACATTTTCCTGAAATAAAGAAAGAGAATGAAGACAGTATTGAAGAAATACAGTTTTTGTAATAATGGGTGCCTGAGGTGGGATTCACATGCCCATACTGTGTGAGAGAGAGAAAAAGCAGGAAACACGGGGCCATCCCCCCCAAAGGTAAGGAAGATCTCTTTGAGGAGAAGACTGGCTCCAGATGGCTTCCTGTACAGGCTTTGAAACGATCCTCTCTGTCCAGAGCAGCCTGGTGGCTGGTCCGTTTGACACCAGAAAGGGAGGCTGCATGAGTGTGCTTGCAGATTGGAAACAAAGGTTTGGATATAAAAATTAAGAACTACAAATAAAGGATTCTGAGGCCTAATTTAGTATCTATCTCAGTCTATAATGTGTCCCTTTGCAAGTATGTCATTAAGAGAATGTTTGGGAACAGTTGTGACTGCAGGGCCATTTTTTCCCCAGGGAGATGGCCGTTTCAGTTAACTTTGCTTAATACAGGAGTCAATAAAGTTCCACACGGAGTACAGGGCACCCCACGACAGGAGGAGTTCTACAGAGAGGCAGAATGAATTCGGACTGAGCCCACAAACCCATTATAGGTATCTTGCTGACAAGAAAGAATTGATAAAGGAATCTGTTACTGGAGTTGATAATGATTCAGGCAGGACTCGAAAAATTGGTAAGGAATCCTTAAACTCTGCCTTAATCTCCCTTAGATTGCCTTGGCTTACTCCCCTTCCTTCAGAGTTTTAGGGGCTCTACTTAAGCAAGCAATCCTGAGTCAAAATTATCCTGGTGGTCTCCATTTCCTTGGGGGCATGTTCCTCTGCGACATCCCCACCATGTCAGCATGCCTCCTGCTGTCACAGCCCCATTTAAAACAGCAGGAATTTCTTTTTCCAACCCAACTTTCCTTGACAATCCTCTGGGGCCTGAATCATGGACTAGAAGTTAGAATTTTGCAATCTCTTCCATGGGTCCTCTCCTCAGTAACCCATATCCTATGGGAATTTAAGGTACCTGCGTCTGCTTAAGAGCTGGCTTTCCACGTCTCAGCCCAAACAACTCAAGATGTTGCTTGCTGTGCACAAGCAAGATTCCCATGAGCGATTTACCTAAGCAATGTATGCCCTTTAAATGTCACTGTCCTCATTCAAAATTGCTCAAAATATTCCATTCTTGTCAAGCCAGCTTTATTAATAATTAGGCATTACTGAGTCTGGTTTTCTGTAGTATTGAAATTGCCATAGCCAGAAACATTCTCTCTTCCCTATTTAAAGCTAAAGGTAAAAATCAGAAGGGAGATTTAAGAAATGTGGGTTTAAGAAAGATGTGTAATTTCCTAGAATCCTAAATTTGGTTATTATTTAATTTTTCTTTCCACAGGAAGCAAATACATGAGGTTTAGAAATGTAAGAACCTCCTTGGTTTCTGAAATGATCAGTGCAATGACTATGGCGTTCCACGAGTATGGGTGTGTGAGGACTCGGGAGAAAAACCGAGAGGAAAGTCAAGAATTCAGCTGGATTCCAGATCATAGAATCTACTTTAAAGGGAAAGTGTTAGTCTTGTTGAAGAACTAAGACTTCTTTCCTCCCTGACACTCTCTAGGGCTGTTTTGAGACCCCACTTTAAGGGCTTTCACATGAAGAATGGTGCCTTTCAGTACTTACAGTTTTTTAGAGAAAATTTCAGATCGGTTGTTGCACTCACGGATATTTCAGACTCAGTGCCATTAGGATTTTGTGTCGTCAACACATCTAAAAACATAAAATAAAAAGTCTTCAACAACAAGTTAAGTCACTTTTTGTTTCTTTACATTTTTCCTCATTTGATTTTTTATAAAAAAATATATGCACTAATTCCTAAAAAAAAAAAAAGGATAAAAAAATGTTTGAGTCATTTTTGCATCTACAAAATAAGAAAGTAGGGCAAGGAACAAATATAAAATTCATGAAGGAAAAAGCCAAATTAGTACCCTTTTGCTGAATGACTTTTTCTGAGAAGTAATTATTAAGGACATTTATGGAAAATGTAGCTGCATAACAGGTGCCGAAGTAGATTTGTAGATGTGCAATGTTATCACTGTTTGTATTGACATTATCAAAAAATCAAGTAAGAAGCATTGATCCTTGAACCTTCTGTTAGACTAAGGAACATTCAGCTAAAAAAGCATATGGTTCAATAACAATCAAGGTCCCCCATATGTACTCACAGTTACATATACACATAAAGAATCCTGCTTTTAAGACTCATCAGTGGGGTTGGTTGTCATTCAAAACTAATGTACATGTTCATCCAACAAAAGGGGCAAAGTAAGTTGGATCAAGATAGTAGACTGAACACACATGTGTCTCCTCTCTCCGAAATCTCATAGAATAACAGAAAATTTTGTATATACACGAATGCATGGGTGTATGTTTAATATACACATATATATTTACTTCGTCCTTTGTGAGAATACAAAGAGAAATACACCCAAGTGTGTATATGAGAAGAACGTACAAAGGGAGAACTGTACATACTCTAAATGTTCTCTAACAAGAGAACAGATAAATAAATTATGGAACATCAATTTATAGAATACTATGTATCCATTAAAATTAATGAGGTAGATGTGATAAAGTTCCAGAGTTATTAAATGAGAAAAGCAAGTGATAGTATAAGTTTTTAGTATGGTTCCATTCATGTTATATGTGTGTCTGTGTATGTGTGTGGGGGAATATATATAAAATGTAAAAGATTTTTTGTTTAATTGAAATAATTATCAAACACTTGATTTATTGATCCTCTTTTTAATTTAAAATAGAGGTACATGCTATTTTAAAGACATGATTTGTGTTGTACCATTTTGCACACAGTAGAGGCAGACTACACATAGCAGAAGCAGTCTAGTGGTAGATTAGATGCCACTCCTGCCTCTGCTTCCTAGTAACTATGAAATCTCTCTGAGCACCAGGGACTTTTTTTTCACCTACAGAAGAGGGATATTGATTCATCAAGGAAGAAATAGAAATACAACATATGCATTATAATTTTCAAAGTGCTTGAATGTATATATATCTTTATTGTTTTTCTTTTTCATTGATTAATATTAATAGAGATGCCAGAATAATTAAATTTAATCTTAATTTTTAATAAGAGTTTCTTAGGAACTTTTCAGTTTTTAGAATGGTACACCTTATAAGGACATGGAAAGGAAGCCCATATGAGGAATGATGACGAATGAACTAAATTTTCATGGACCTTCCAAACATCTAGAAGTCAGTTTGTTATAGGTTGAATTGTGTCTACCCAAAAAAGATATGTTAAAGTCCTAACCCCTGGTACCTCAGAATGTGATCTTATTTAGAAAGAGGGTCATTGCAGATGTAATTAAACTGGAGTAGGGTGGGCTCCTAATCGTATATGACTGGTGTCCTTATAAGAAGAGGGAAATTTGCACACAGAGATACAGGGAGAACGTCATGTAAAAGGGAGGCAGAAACTGGAGTGATGCTGCCTCAAGCCAAGGAACACCTGGGGCTACCAGAAGCTGGAAGAGTCAAGGAAGGATTCTCACCAAGCAGCTTTGGTGAGAGCCTTTACTTCATTGGCCAAAACTTTGATTTTGGACTAAGAGCCTCCAGAACTGTTAGAGAATATATATCTGTTTTTTTTTTTTTTTTTTGAGCCACCCAGTTTGTGGTACTTTGTTTCAGGAGACTTAGGAAATGAATACACATCTCTAAATAAATTTTGCTTACCTCTCCATCAAATTTAGGTCAATTCTTACTAATGTGAATAAAAAGCCACGATACCATGAAGAACCAGGGCAGTTACAAATAATTACCAAGTGAACCTTGTTAAACTTCATAACAGCTCATGAAAAGACTTGTAGGAAATAAGGATTTCATTTAATATACTGAAAATTCTTTATGGTAAACTGGAATGCAAGAAGTAGGAAATAAAATGATTATGGGAGTTTAAGAAGGAGAGCTAAATCAATTGAGTATAATCAGCTTTTGTACCTGTATTGCTGTTTTAAAGACTTACATTGTTTTATATCTCTGAAATAATTGCCAGTTTTCTCATTAGCAGGAGCACCACCATCTTCCCCGTGATGTTCATCTTCCTCTAAAGGCAACATACTGGGTAACGCTAACAGAAAAGTATGACATACCATGGATCAGAAATATATTGGTTGCTTTTACTACTATTTTTTCCTAACTGCATTTTCCCCCCACAAAGGATTTAAGGCAGATATTTAAAATATAACTTATACCATATCTCCAACAATAAACTTTATATCATCTTGTAGAAAATTGCTACATACCAATTTTTCATGATTACGGATCATCTTTCTTACCTACTATTTCTGGGAAAGTTTTAAATGCTTACTCACCTGCATTAGTGGGCTTCAAAGTGTTACTCTCTGAGGAAAAAACCCCAGATAGTAAAATAAACAATATAAAACTCATTGGGAAATTGATGGGATTTGTCCAGTAATCCAGTGCCTCTTCCTGGAGTTTCCTTTCTGTGGCCCACACGGTCCTATGACTGACCAGGACATTATGACATCACTGTTAGATGGGAGTCAGAATGCTGGGCAGGAAATCCCAAGAGCTCTGTGACTCCGTCTGAAGACTTTATCTTTGGTACTATGATGGTTTTTAGTTTTTTAAAATAAACCATCACAGGAGTTTTTTAAATGAAAGTTAATAAATATATTCTGGTGAAATAATGTTAGTTATTGGTTTCTAGATTTTAAAGAACCACTAATATTGTTGATAGTAAACAGATCTTTTTGATTTTCAAAGCATTACAATGTTATAGATTCTTTTGGATAAGTGCAATCAAAATGTCTGTTAAAAACTAGTCAGAGAAACCAAGATTCAATCCAAATGCCCTGCAAATTCTGGTTCACAGACTATGTTAACTACAATTCTTTAGGAGATGTTTTCTGAAATGTCTTTCTTGTATTTTATGACCTATATTCTTTATAAAACATAAAATATTTGTTTTGCTTAGAACATTTTTATCAATGAAACTCATCTTTGCCTTCACATACAGATGGAGAAAATCTAATATTTAATTGGTCAGAAGAGGACTTAGGTATAGATAATATCCATGTATTAGTCATGTAATAACTCCAGTAATAAATAATAGAGACAAGAAAGCAAAAAGACAATATTTCTCTTCATGATTTTAAAGGATCACCTAACTTCGCCTCTCTCAATTGTAATTATGGTTGATGATAGCCTCTCAATATTAGAGAACATTCGTAATCTAAATGACATGAGGTATCAGGAAATGAAGTCCAACCTGGGGTTCTCTACAGAGCATGCCTGGTGACCTAAAGGGCAGACACACCAGGAGTCTAAGTGCATAAGAAGAATGGGGGAAACTGAGAGGACTTATCTTCAGGGGACAGAGTCTGGGCAAGCAAGGCCCAGGGTCAAAGCCTTAGTCAACCGAAGGGAGGTGGTCCCACGTGGAGCACTGTTTAGAGACCTGAGCCCATTCTCATGTGGAAGCTGGGCGGTGGAAAACAGATGCGAGCAAAGAGCTGGCAGGCCTCTGGAGCCCTTTGCTTTGGTATCTCTCTAACAGACTGCAACAGAGAAAAGGAAAGAAACCTGGAGCCAGCATGCTCCACGTTGCTGCAAACCATCACACAGCTTTGGTGACACAGCTCAGTCTTGATGAAACTTGGAAGAAGACAGAAGTTCCAGGGCAAGGGTGGCATACGGTGGAATCGCCAGTACCTGGTGATACATAGGAGCCACAGCCAGCTGGACAAACATGTTTACTACCATGTGCCCCAGATTTGGTGAAATGCATGGCACATACAGGTGCTTGATAAATGGGTAAATAAAACACTTGATTAATATTTAGTTCAGGAAGCACTTATGTGCCAAAAATCAACTTCGCATTTTCCAATGACACAAATAAAATTTTTCTTTGTTGTTTCATCATATATCTTTTCTGCTGAGCCCTCCCATATTCCTAGGATAGATATTTTTCTTTTCTTTCTTTCTTCAATTGGCTTTATTTACAATTTTGTTATTTTTATTTTCTCATGTGACAAATGCTTCCCACAGGTAATTGAATTGGTAGAATGCACATATGGTAGGTTTTTAAAGAAAACATTAGATTTAATGAAGCTAAGTTTATTTTTTTTTTATTTTTTATTTTAGAATAGTACAGGGATACAATTGTGTCTTCCCAAAATTCACATGGTGAAATCCTAACTCCTAGCACCTCAGAATGTGGCTGTGTTTGGAGATAGGGTTGTCGCAGATGTAAATAGTTAACATGAGGTCATACTGAAGGTCATACTGGAGTAGGATGGGCCCCTGATACAACTGGTGTTTTTATAAAAAGGGGGAGAGTGAGACACAGACAGACACAGAAGGAATGCTACGTGAAGATGAAGGCAGGTCGGGGTGATACAGAAGCCAAGGAAGGCCAAAGATTGCCAGCAAGCCGGAAGCAGCAGGGGGAGAGGCATGGAATATATTCTCCCTCACAGCCCTCAGGAGGAACAATCCTGATGATATCTTGATCTATATCTTCTAATTCTCAGATCTGTGAGACAATAAATCTCAGTTATTTAAGCTGTTTCATTTGTGGTTATATAGTAGCCCTAGCAATGATAGACAAACCCTTTGGGATGGTAGGAAGAGATTATGAAAAACTAAAATTAAATGTGTCCTCTCTGGAGGTCATAATTTTGGGCTGTAATTCACCCTTCCAAAAATGTAGATTATTCTATTAATATTACTCAATGTAGTAGGATCTTTTCTTTTAAAAAAACCAAGTGCATATTTATTTTCTATATACTAAATAATATTTTAAGTGCTTAAAGAAGACCCTAAGAAGGATCCTTTGCTAATATCAAGAATGTCATTAGATATATTTTGTAATCTATGACATTATTTCCTGCACACTATCATGTTTCTTGACCACATCTGGATAACAAACCCCTCTCCCATTTCTCTGTTTTCTCCCATAGGAGCAGTGGGCCAAGAATAGGAGGGCATGTATATGGGTTTTAGCTCCATCCCTTCCTATCTTTGTGATCCTGGGCAAGTCATCTCTTCTCTGACTCTGAATTTGTTCATCTGGAAAATGGGGGAATTGATTTCACAGCATGTAGATATTTAAAAATCATTTTGGGGGTATGGATTTCTTTATTTTATATATAAAATATATAATTTTTATTCATGCCTAAAAGAATTAGAGGTGGTAAGATTTTCATATATCCATTTTTTTAAAAGGTAGAGCACAACAGTACCCTATTGGGTAGGTCAGTACAAGTAGAAGAGGTAATAAAGTTGAAAACATACAAATATTCAGAAACAAGACAATGTTATAAAATGGTCCAAAACTTATTTTAAAAGAATGTTAATTGAGTCATCCTAATCTTCAAGAGAATTCATAAATGCAGATAAATTCCACAAGGTATAAATTAATTGTCACCATCCATGGATAATAAGCCCCCAAACCTTACTTACTATATTAATTTGAACATTATTTTCCCTAAATATGAATAGTAAGTTCACAGGATACATAATAAAATATTAATAAAATAAAATGATTAGCTACATCACTGAAATTCTGTAAAAGCAAGAACAATGAACTCTAATTTATCAGATGGTCAGGGAGCTGAGCTTCTCTTTAACTGAATATCTCAGCTGATTAAAAATTACTATATCATACAGGATCATTAATCCCCCCCCCCTGCCCTCCTGCTATACCAGCATCATCTAATATTTGGTGTTTTCTCAGAGAAGAAACAGTATCATTAATTTTCAAAGAATAAGAACCTTTTAGTAAAATACAAGGAAGTTCTTTTGAACATAATGTAATCTCTTTTCTCTGTTTATGGGACTATCAAGAATTTACAGTGCCCTCTGGGTTAAGTGATAAACCTTGATTGTACATCATTTTGGATGCCTGAGCTTTTTGTTTATTTAACCTCTAGATTAATTGAAGCATTAAAACAAGGGCATTTTTCTAACATAGTGACTTATATACTAAAAGAGAAATATTTGTTGATGTTAAATACTGAGGTTTAAAATCAGGTCTTTTATTTACAATTTAGTAGAAGAAGCAAGGAAAGGCTGAAAGGGAAGACTCCAAGTAATCTGGACATGAAAATATTATTTAATTAGGTATTTAAAAAACTGCTATAAAACCTAAGTTATAAGGAGGTTGCTAATTGACAGTTATCCAAAGATACAGAATAACAGGATAGATACATTAGGATAGACGAACCAGAACTTTGAGTTTGCTAAGAAAAGAGTGGAAGAACTGATTTACAGTGACATCTGGGAGTGTACATTTCAAACCTGGAACAGTGTGACAATGAGGTCCAAGAACGTGGCGCATTGTTGAATTGGATTAGAAGGAAGGGCATTGGCTTGGGGATGTCGAGGAAGCAGAGAGGCCAAGCTGTTGGATGCATTGTCTGTGTGGACAGTGAAGTTCCTTCCATAGAGGGTGTTAAGACTTGGAAATGAAAGGTATACAGGGAAACAGGTGCTAACACCTTCAGTAAATTAGGGTAGATTTAGAGAATGACAAAAGGTGATAGTGGGAGTGGGGTGCTAGAGAGTAGCATGGCTAAATGACATAAACCTCGAAGGGCAGATGGTATTTGGGAGCAGAGAGTCAACATCTTGAAGCAGCAAACAAGACCAGAAGAATGAATGCCAACCACACCTCAGGACCTTGATATACGTTGGGTTACATAAGGTGTGGGAGGAGGGGTTCTAGAAGTCTGCAATGAAGAGCTGGATCTCAGATAGAAGTACTCATAACCGGATCCAGATGTTGCATGTGGACTTTAACATTATAAGTATTTCCTTAAACTTAACTTTAGTATTTGTATAAATCCAATTTTGTGAATGTTCATAACTTTTCTTTGTCATTTACTCTATTGTTCATTATTTAGGTTGCTTCAAATTTTTCCTATTTTATCTAATAAAGTAATTATCATATTTATGTCTAAAAATTTTCAGCATTTATAATTAGCTTCTTAAATTTATCCCCTAAAGGTGGAATTTCTACCTCAAAGCATGTGAACACCTTCTAGGCTTTTGGTAGTCATCGTTCCATATTCATCTTGGATTTTCCCTGTCCCAACCTTGGAACCAACCATTTCTCTAAGAATCTCTAGTTCCTTTTAGTGACGAACAGTATTTGATTGCCAAGATCTAGGCTCTAGTTGTACTAATTGAACTGGAATGTCACTGTCTAAACAGAGATAGGAATTATATTATATGCATGGGTGTATATATGTATGTAATATATATGTACATATGCATACACACATTTAAATCTGTATTTTTGTATCTGCCTTAACATATTGGAAACCATGGGTTCAAATAATTACCTTCAATTTCAGGCCAACATCTGTTTACATATTTGTTACTCTTTTTGACAGTGAGAAACATGGCTTCCAATATACTTAATGGGCTATGTTTCCTTATTTGGTTAGTCCACCCATATAGAGTCAATCTTCCATTCATTGCTACTGTCATCCCCTTCCCTGCATAGATGCTCTT